CCCTCCCCCTCCCCCTCCCCCCTAAACCGACCAGACCTCACCAACGAAACCGCCCCATGCACCACCCTCAACTCGCGCTCACCCCACCCGCGCCGTCCGCGCCGCGCCCGCCCGCGCCGCGCATCCGCCTCCGCCTGACTCTCCAGCCGCCCGTTGGGCCCCCGCCGCCGGTGCCAGAACCCCGCCGCCCCCAGCCCGTGCCGCGCGATGCTGCCGCGCCGCGCTTCTTGGAGGAGGACTCGGCGTCGGAGGATGCTTGCGGTGCGGCGGGGGCGGGGGCTGTGCGAGCTGGAGGTGGAGGTAGACTCGGGAGTAGACTCGGAGGTTGAGGTGGGGTTGTGCTGCTGGTGCTGATCCTGCTGCTGCTCGTGGTGGTGATGGTGTTCGTGATGGGGCCGGAGGGGCGAGTGGTCTGAGGCGTGGGTGGTGAAGGTTTTGGAGGGGCCGTAGAGGTAGGGGGTTGGTTTTCGGCGTTTGCGCGGGGGGACTCCGGACTTTTGGGAGGGGGATGAGGTCTGGGAGGAGCGGGAGGAGCGGGAGGAGCGGGAGGAGCGGGAGGATTTGGAGGATCTGGATCGAGGGGGCGAGGGGGCGGGGGGGCGTGAGGGTGAAGAGGCTGGGTATGGTTCTTCGAGGCCGGAAGTGCAGGTGCTTGGGGGCAGGACTGAGGGCTGGTGGGAGAGCGCGGGGGAGGGCGGTGCGGTGGGGAGGATGTGCGAGTCGGGGTCGTGGGTTCTTGGGTACTGTTTCCCCCGTTATATTAGTTTCAGGATCAGGCTGACCAGAGGCAGAGGGGACGGGTTGGGGACGTTACATTGCGCAGGTCGGAGAGATCGGGTCCACCGTCTTCGGCCAGCTGCCTTAGGTGGGCTCGTTGCGCTTCGGAGAAGTGGCTGTACACGTCTGGGGCGAAGGTGCGAGCTCTGTATCCTTCGACGTCAGTCTGATAGATATGTTGAGGAAGGCAGTGGTGGCATACCTCGCCGGATGCGCAACGCGTCCCTTTTGTTTGTGTTTGATCTCGAGCTCGAGTAGCGCATCTGGAGTGAGATGGCGGGCTTTTTCGTAACGGGCACGGCTTCTGGACACAAGAGATATCCTTCGGCTGCGTTTGGGCTTGGGGGCTTTACGAGGATCGGAAGGCATGCTAGTTGGTATACTCCCTCAGGACTGGTTGTAATGTATATTGATATGATGCAGGTCGATGTTTGTCGTTTGTCGAATCACGATGACAAGAGCGGGCTGCGAGGAATCTTAGTTGAAAGCAGAAGTAGAGTCATCAATTGAGCTGGTATAATTCACACAGGATGTATTTATCAATTTCTCTTCTGGCCTAAGATATAATACCATTTCACAGACAAAGAGCAACCGGAATTCGTCAGACAAAGGCCATGTCCTTTGTGAATGAGCTCTGTCGTGCATCCGACCCCCCCCATTGCAGAAGAGACAAAGAGACGGCTTGTGATTCAGGTTATTCTACTGAAGCCCACCGACATGTTCATTGTGCCGGACAATAACAATTGTGGATCTGGTTCTTCCTGAAACACGTAAATCTGCCGGTGGGTTTATGTCCGATATCACCAGACTGCTCACCGGGAGCTGGCACTGAGATGACAGACGAACCTCCTGGACATAACAAGGACTTCCACCTTAATTCAGAGGACTTCAAACCACTACATCTCCGCCCAGGTCAATGCTCGCTTGCCTACATGTCATTAGTCCCGTTCAGTCTACACGCCAATGACTTAGTGTGCCGTTAGTTTATCATCTACCCAGTCAATACCAAATCCCCCCCGTCTCCGTACGTATCCCAACAACAACAGGAGTAACCTGGTCAGCTACCCTAAAGACCTGTACACAGAAGGCAGATCATACACCACATCGCTGCCCACCGGCTCCGTACTAGTCATAGGCTGTTTGCTTAGACGAGGCTGCGGCTTCGGCACACGAGTCAAAGGCTGCTGCTGATCAGTGAACGGATCATACACCGTCTTCTCTCCGACGCCATGGCAGAACCGCTCGAACCAGCTCTCAAACTCGACCCTCGACGAGTAGTCTCTCAAGTCGATCACCCCAGGGATCAGCGGAACGAGGCGGCCCTGCAGGTCGGGATCGGTGCACCTCTTTGCTATCTCGATGCTATGATTACCTACCCCCGGCGGTACTTCGGGCTTCTCGCAGCGATGATGCACATAATAGAAGAGCCCGACGCGGGCGGAGAAAGCGACCACGACGGGCCGTCCGGGAAGGGGGAGTCTCTCCTCCGCCTCATACCCGCCACCCCAGCCTTCGCGGACATGCAGACGACGCAGGACGTACTGCATGGTGGACACCCATTCGTCGACACTCTCATCCCGGGCGCGGCGTAAGAAACAGTGGAAGCCACTGCAGCGGAAGGCGTCCATGGTAATCTCGCGGTATCCGGGTGGGCGGACACAGTCGAATAGCCCCGTATCAAAACTAGAGCCGGGGCTGTCCGCCTCATCCTGATATCTTCGAATCAACTTCTTGAGATATCGGTCCCAGCCCTCCTCGATGGATCCAACATATAGATGGTCGGGAAGATGGAAGAGCATGTCGAAGTTGATGGAGGGAGCAAAGCCGGGGTAGGCTAATCGGTCATACGCCGCTCTGTGATGAAGGGTTAGATGCTGCCCAAACCCCTGCCGTGAGTGGGGAAGCACCCTCCTACCTGCGCGGCATTGTAACCGTTTTTGTGTAAGGAGCATCCCCGCTAGGGACGTCCACGAAGTGCCACTGCACAGAGTCGATGATACTGCGTCTTGAGGGATCTTCGATTCCGATGATCGGGGTCAGTACTAAATCCTTGTAGCATCGCATAAACCCCCCTCGACAGAGTCGGGTAGTACTCTGGGTTCCAGTGCGCCTGTCCACCAAGGTGTAGGAAGGACTGTGAAGGTCAAAGTCAACGATGGTATAATGGTCATTCAGCCGAAGCTCGGACAGACTGGTCTTGCGGCAATAAGCCGACAGTTTGCTGAGACTGCGATACGTTCGAGCATCGGTGAGCTGCATCACAGTTGCTAGAGTCTCGTTAGGCAACACATGGGACACGGCACCTTCCAGATCATGATATGTGGCTGCGTCGAAGAAACGCAATAGTGTCACAAAGACGATGGAATAGTTCATCTTCTCGGCAAGGCGCACTGTCAGTGACTGGTTAGTGTCATCCAGTTGACAATCGTGACCGTTGGGTATGGCCAGATCACCGGACCTAAAATTTTGATGAGACCGGGTGTGCGATTTGGAATCTTTGACATTCCCCAAAGTACGAGGCAATCTATTTCGAGGCCCTCTTGCGAATGAAGAGTTAGTGTCATCAAACTCGAACAATGTCATAATTGGACTTCTCTCCACAAGAATGGCCAGGTCTGATTGCGCCTGGACACGCAGCAGGATTACATCCAGAATCGAGAAGACGATCGCATAGAATGATTTGCGCCCCTGTTCGAGTCCGGCTTCTACGGCCTCGGCAATTGCGGCGTCTTCTATGTCGACGCGATCCAGGCCCGAGACCAAGTGGACCAAGACACTATCCAACCAATACGTTGTTTGCCGGGGAGCCGACCCGGACCCCACTCCGGGATGGTGTGACTCGTGCAAAAATCGGGGCAGCAGGGTTGGTCGGAGGCTCGGAAATTCAGAGTATGAAGACTTTGAGCCATGAACCAGGTAATACCCTTCCTTCTTGTGGTTAGCATCCAAGGAACTGGGATTCGCAAACGATACAGCACCCGTGGCCAGAGACACGATAGCATATGCTATTTCTCTGAAGGGAAAGTCTGTGGGGCCCCATTCGAGATAGCTCCCGTCCAGGAGATCGCGATAGTGCCCCTGCAATCGTGTGAACGTCGAGGCCAGAAAGGACTCCCGAAGGAAGGAGATGTCTTGAGAGAGATAGAAGGACTCTGGCGCAACCACCTTGACCTTGAGCCGGTTGAACATCTCAATCAAGGTCTCGTTCACTTGAGGCTTGAAGGTGGGGTCGGCAAGCACATGTTGGGGTGTCCACTTGGCAGGTGCGCGGCGGCGACGAGCATCCTTACCGAGGTACAGGATCCATTTCTGGTCGCTAGCGATGCTGGAGAGCCGGAGATGAACGGCATTGTCGATGCTGAAGATCTCTTTGTCCAAGTCGACGGTGTAAACCCATTCATGATCTCCGTTCCGCCATCCCGGGGGCAGTAGCTGCAAAGGCGGCGATTCAAGCCGGTCGTCGAGGGCCAAGTAGCTCATCTCGTAGCGCTCAGTGAGGGAGGCGTTCGAGTCCTCGTCGATGGACTGGATGGCCACGGGGAGGCACTGCGTTTCGAATTGGTGGACGAGACGGGAAAACGTGGAGCGAAGAGCTTGGAGCCATGCTGATTGAGGGGTCAGAAATGACTTGCTTGTAAAGAGCTGAGTATATTCAGTGACGTGCCTTGGTACTGGATGGAATCTTCAGGGATAGTGTCGACCAACTCTATGCCCAGACCTTCCGGATAACTGTCCCACCGGTTAGAGTACGCAAAGTACCTACCACGGCAACGAATGAACAGCAGGCCTTTGACGGCCATGATAAAATAATGGCTATTGCTTGATAGTCGAGATCATGAGTATTGAAAAGGCAGAAGAATGAGAAGGAGATGTCGGATGGGTGTGTGTTTGCGAGAGGGGATGAGGGATGAGGGAGGAGAAGGAGAAGGAGAAGGAAGAGAAAAAGGTGGGGTATGAGAGACTATGAGGGGAAGTAAACAGAAAATACTACTGGCCACCAGCCACAAACACAGCAAACTCGCGGCTGACAAGGATTCACACCACCGCTGAATTGCAACTGGAAGCTGGGACAGCTCAGATATGGTCGATTCATTGGGGAAAATATTTCAAAAAAGTAAATGCAGCCAAATGCAGCCATAGAAAGACTGACAGCATGTGGGGCATGAGGCAATCTAGAAGCCTTAGCGCGCGATAGCTCAAAGACCAAAGATGCAAGCAGCCAAGTGGATTGCAGGCCTAGACTTGCCACTATTCAACTTGCCACTGACAATCATACACAACCCAATTCTTAAACACATCAAAAGAACGGGAAGATAGTTCAAAATATTCATATCAATATTCATATTCGATTAAAGAAAGTGGCCTTCCAATTGAAGAGCCATAGCCATCACCGCCACATCATGCTCCGCAACGCTGTCAATGCCAGTAGTTAATAGTCTCGAGCACCCGAAAGCCCACCCTAGCGACAGCGAAACTCACCGGTTCAATCTGGTTGCGGGGAAAGTCCTGGATCTTCCAGAACTGCAGGTTATACTCATCCTTCTGGCCGTCCTTCTGGACATGACGCAGCATCTTGGTGGACCAATTCAGCTCGGTCTGCTCCTCGTGCTCCCAGTCCACATTGGACATCAGTCGGTAGAGCTTCGAGTTGAGGTCCTTGTGGGCTTCTCCGAGGCACTCCCCGTCGCGCGTAATGACCCGGACCAGGACATATTTCAGGCTGGGAGCGATTTCCGCCGGAAGGAAGTCCTCCGTCTCAAGGCGCACCTCCACCTGGGACTTGAGAAGTATCAACAGGCCTGGAAGCGAGAGGTCCTGCTTGCCTTCAACCCAGAAGTCTAGGGTCCAGAGATTGTGAGTTTCTCTCCGCGATGAAGGCATTGTTCTTGTTGTTGAAGGTGGAATACTTACTGGAGTATGTCAGCTTCTTTATGATTCGGGGTGGGGTGTGGAGCTGTCTCTGCATTGGGTGTGATGGGTCCTTTTATATTGCATGCTGGATATAGGGATGAGAGGGTTCGTAGCTGGAGATTTCCCAAAGATGCTAGTCTACGTGGCTTGCGGCTATGCGATTGGCGGAGATGGTCGAGCACAAGGGATTTGTAGAACAATGGATGTTGTTGAATCGAACATCATCCAGGGGACTGGCGAGGATCACGGAGACAAAGGAGGCGTCATTTCAGCTGCCATTGTCTGGCTATACCAACTAGACTCGGTGTTGACTGCTTCATGCGAAGGATGCTCAGCCTCAATGGAAAGCACCGACTATGGCATGTTCCAAGTCTGCGGGCCTCCGAGGCATACGAGACATACGAGACATACGATTCTCGGTCTTGAGTTTGAGTAAAATATAATCATCCTCAGTTCGAGGATGGCGGGCATTGGTTGCTCCAGGAGCACGCGCGGAAAAACAAGAAGCAAAAAACGACAACAGTCGGATTTGAACCGACGCCTCCGAAGAGAATAGATTTCTAGTCTATCGCCTTAGACCGCTCGGCCATATTGTCTTATTGATGATAAACAATGTCGTACTAAGCAATATGATACAGCTGTAAGGTTTACCTCACGTTCAACCACACTTGTTTGTATAGTTTCATCTCAATTGCGATGATCATTTCGACCGGCTTCATACTCCATGATATAATTGAGTATAATGGCTTGAAGTCTCCCTTATATCGAATTGTCAACACATTTGGGCTTTGTGGCTTCTCACGCGGCGACTGCTTGGAACAAGAATATATGCCGAGGTATTGAGTCATCGATCATCTCCTGTTATGAAGAACACTTATATGAACAGTCTTTACAGCACAGAACAAAAGAAGTCACCTCTAACCTGAGGCCGAGGTGAACTTTTATCAACCCTCCATCACCACTCACTTGCAACCCAACACGGAACCTTACGTTATCCAAAAGCCGCACGAAACTACAGCTGAAAACAGTCAAAGAAAATAAGTTGAATGTGATCTACCTGCCCCTGCCTGATTTCCACCCATCAGCAACTTGAACTAGAATTCAACTTAAACCACTAAGATCGACCAACAAACTGCATCCCGCCTCGCACCATTTCTCATCTAAATTCCCGACCACCAAACATCACAGCCACCAAGTTTTGACAATCAAATCTTCTGGAATTTGATGAAGAAACAGATATTCATTCTCCGAGCACGGAAAGTCGGCATACCAAGGAAGATCAGTCTTGACCACATCGAGCCATGTATCCAACTTCATGACGGTCACCCAGTGCCCCTCTCGGGATCTAAACGTCCCCAGACGGGGAGCATAAATCATGAGCACCCTGACATTCCTCTCCCCAGCACGTTGGCGTCTCTTGGCGTCACGAAACGCCCATTCTCGGTCACTTGAACTGGAAATAAATGCACTCGGCTCCCGGTTCCCCCAGTCGAGGTGTGGCAACACTTCACCCTGCAAGTGTGACCTTTCCCTCCTGTCCCGGGGTTCAAATGGGACCCATTGATCTCCCTCGGACCGGATCCCCACACCTTCGATCATCCGAGTCCTGGAGTGGTCGCTCTCGACACGAAAGACAAAACGACCTGACCCCCACGATGGCATCCTGGCGAACGAAAATCAAACAATACTAATATTTAACTTCCGCTGCTTCAGTTTTTAAAAAAAGCGCTCCCAGGCAAATATCGTCCAGAAACCCCTCACAGCTGCATACGAGAATAAAAAGGAAGTAAGAAAGCCAGCGAAAACAGCGAGGGCAGGAAGCACATTTAAATATCTACTGTGCCGCCTGCTCTACGCGCTCAGACAGGCCAACGCATCGACAAGGACGCGTCCGCAAATCAGGCGGCACCACGTCGGATTATGACTCACCGGAGGCTGTACTAGTTAGTAGACACCGCATACTTCCCATTCGGGAAATTAGTTAGTAAAGGTATCTAACTTATGATTAGGTACAGCACTACCTAGTAGGGTAGCGTCGGCGACAGGAAGTGCTTATGTGGAGGCCATTCATCAGCGGCTGTTGCACTGCCACGGATAGTTGTTGTATTGCTTAGCCACTACGCTTTAAGTCTTCAAAGGTCCGTCGCAACTGCGCCTCCAGCTTATGCATGCACAGGTCAAGTAAGCTCACTGTAGAAATGTGACACAAGCTGTGCCGTCCGTCACCTGATCGCAGTGGGGTAAGAACCACTGATGATTACTGCCAAAGACTGGGCACGCACTTTCACAGACACATGCAAAGAAGATGATTCCAGTGCAGCCCATATACATTGCCTGTCCCATATCTTGATTGAACCGACCGAAGGATAGCGAAAGCAAGAAAAGGGAAGCCAGAAACATGAAGTAGTCTCAAGCCAACAATCCTTTCCGAGCCCACCACGTCCACTGGTCGCACAATCGGATCTCGCAGTCAGCAAGATATGATACCGTCTCACAGATCTCAATAAATCCATCTCAGGTCGCAGATCACCGCCGCCCGGAGCAATACGATCAAGATCGAATCAAGGAGTCGCTCATTCCTCGGGAAGAGCGTGACCACATTTATATGCCCTAAAGGCGTGCATAGCCCGCCTCGGCAAAGAGTCCGTCGAGGTTGTTGGAAACCGGTGGAGAGAGTGACGCATGCAGGAAGATACTTATCTTGGATAAAACCGAGGCAGCCCTTTGAGTACAACTGGAAACATATTGTGCTGGCAGCCTACTAGTGTATCGATTTGCGCAAGCCTGCAACTACCGTGATGCTATACAAGTACCCGGTGCGGAGGCTGGGTGCGGAATCCCGGACTACTCTGCATAAATTGGCGCATGAAGAGATAAGCATCGTCCTACCGAACAGGAACCTATGGTGAAATTTTCCGTATGTACACCAGAAGAGTAGGAGGCTGGCACTTTGACTAGAGATTATCTTTGATACGCGCATGCGTGGCTTGAAGCTGCACCATAGCCCACCGTCACATATACGACAGCGCTAGGACTTCATCTATTGTACATCCGCTAGATTATCTTAACATTCACCTACCAAATCCAGATGAGTTTTACCAAACTGATCAAGGGATAATCATTGAAAAAGTTCCGCGAGATGACAACGGTCAAAGCTTCGGATAAGCGTGATCAGCAGCAAGGGTTCCCCACAAGCCTGTACTGTACACCGACTGCAACACCTGACGCTTACTTACACAACATCGAGATCTCCGATGATTACGCGTATTGCATTATAGTTCTCAGAGTCCGTGAAACAACACCGAGATGAAGCTGCTATGAAAGAACAAAGGTTGCCAGAGAATCCTGGGTATAAAGTCATGATGCCTACCACCTAGATCGCCCCAACCTCGCAGCAAGTTCCCCAAAGAGACATCTCGCTGCTGACCTTGCTCCCTTCACACTTACCACAAATCTCCTCAAGTCATAAATCCTCACTAAGACCACAAGATGAGATTCCCAGGCACACCTTCGGCACGATCAACCCCCGGGAGAAGTGGGACATCAACTGGAGCGATGTGGCGCCGTAAGTACACTTCAGTTTTCTAGTATTCGAATCAAAGAGGCGTTCTTTTTCTTATCAAGCCTGCAAAGGTAATAAGCTAATATAGCCTAGAGGAAAGCCTCGCCAGGCCAACTTCTGGCTCACGCACTACGCGCATCAACCCGAGTTCCAGCCCATCAAGCTCAACGAGGAGCCGGTAGATATCCACGAAGAAAGTCGATATCAGGTTCAGCCGCGCTACGATGTGCCATGCGCGTGAGTTTAATCCCGTCTAGAGTGTAATTCTCAACCAGCGTACTGATCGATTTTGATGACAAGGAACGGATGGCGGATCTGGGCGATGGAACCCTCGAAGGACCCGGTGAACAATAAGGACCCTATCGCCGAGTCCGAGGATCTGAACACTTCCTGCGGGGGAGGAGAGTCGGAGGATTAGGACAAGCCGAAAGGTACTCGAGCTATCCTGCTTCGAGGTATCATATTCATTTTGGGGGGGAGACAGGGAAAGCACCTAGTATATGGTAACCCTAAGCCTTGGTATGAGTTTTCCGCTGAGATAGGTTTTCCTCATACCGTCATGCAAATGCAAAGGCTACCTACCGTAACAACCATCTAGTACTGTACCCAACATGGAACATGATCATCAATCCAATTCCAACTAAACGAACACCTACTAGATATATCATATCCTTACAGCCCAGTAACCCGACCAATAAAACCCCTCAGAAATGATGTGCTCGCATAAACCCCCGGAAACCCCTTCCGCCCGCAGCCATGCCCCCACGAAACCACCCCCACCAGAACCCCAAGCCCGTCGTTCCCACTCCCGGTCCCGGTCCCGGTCCCGCCCGCAACCACAACAGCAGGCCCCCCACTATCCCCGCCACAAGCATTCCTCCCGCCCGCGGGCGTTCCCGCACAGAACATACTGGCGGTCACCGGGCCGAACCCCCGATACCCAGCGCGACACTCCTCCCTCCCGACGGCCGCGACCGTCACAGCCCGCAGGGTCGGGGAGTTCGCGCCGCCCTCGCCGGTGGCGCCCCAGCCCGAGACCACCACCTCCGTGCCGGAGGCGAGCACGCCCGCCCCGAAGGCGGGCAACCCCACGGGCGCGATCGTGAGGCTGTACGTCAGGTTCTCGGACAAGGTTAAGATGGCGAGGTCGTTGTCGACGGTCGGGGCGGAGTAGTTGGGGTGGATGTGGATTGCGGAGACATTCACGAGGATTCCGCCGGCGTCGCAGCGGGCGGAGCCGGCGCGGATGCGGAGGCGGGTGGGCGTGGCGCTGGCGACGCAGTGCGCGGCGGTGATGATGTGCGCGGGGCTGAGGATGCTGCCGCCGCAGGTGCGGGCGCCGCCGTAGAGGAGGGCGATTTGGTAGGGGTGGGCTTCGATGGGGACTTCGGTGCCGCCGACGATGCAGGGGGTTACGAGGGCGGGGACTGGTGAGAGAAGGGGGAGGAGGGATCTCATTTTGGTGGGTTTTGAGGGTAAGGTAAGGTAAGGATATGTAAAGGTCGATGGGGATGTGGGGTGGGTTGCCGAATGGATCGCTTTACATCTAGGTCTCCTTATACGAGGGTTCCCACGGCGCAATCCGAGCATATCTTATCTCCAGAATGCAGGAGTGTGCTTGTTGACTAGGCCAAAAGGGTCTCGCATTGTGTGACAGAGAAGCAGGATCAAACCCTACTCCCGGTCCTCGTACGACACGACCTTTGTGTTCATTGGGAGCACTCGGCAGATCTGGTGACAAACGCAACCCCACCACAAGTCATTTGCTCTTCTCTGGATCTAATCACCGCAGAGATCGTCGCGCCCGGTGACCCGGCAGTAGGACGGTTCTTCCGGAGTGGGAATTATGGTTCTGCGGCAGGAGGCGTCCCTGGTTGCGCTCGGATGTTGTATGTCGGTATGTGTATACTGAACTCTCACCTACTCAGAGAAGAGTTCGCATGTACTGTACCATACGATCGAGTACTTATAGTCAAATGTGCTTGGAATCTCGCTGCGGATGGAATGCTCGTTTCCTGCAACCTGTGGATGTAATGTTTGTTCATTCTCCAGTAAACCAATTGTAATCACGGAAGGAGGTGCAAAACAGGACTGGCGACTCCAGGCTCGTCCATTTGAGAGCCAACGCGTCCCAGGGCCGAGAGCACCACCGTGATCGTGCCAGAATGCTGCTGGCCCGATACAGAGCCAGTCAAGATAGGTCAATACAGGGAAACAAAAGCTTGCTTGAAAGGGGAAACTTATGAGACTTTTGGGAGGTTGTCAGCTCTAATAGTTTTACAGACACCAGGATCAGGGACAAATATAACAACAAGTGCATTATAGCGGCCCTTCTTCATAGACTGATACGAGAGTAGTAGCACTAGCCGATAACCCTAATAAAGGTACTGTCAGGTCGAGGCCTCGCGATAGGAAGGAAAATATTCAACCCAATACTGAGGAAACCAAAAAACAAAACACAAAACTCTTGATACGGACAGCATTTTAGCGACTTCTGGTAAATTTCCATAAAGTAAACACCACATGGTTGCTGATTTGGTGAAATGGCCATCCGCAGTGGCGAAAGACAAGTGTAGACTCCAGCAAAAGCATGAAGCAGCACTGAGAAGCTTGGCCTCAGCGATGACCTGCACGAGATTAGCCATCAAGAAGACTCTGCGATCTGGAACCCGTGGCTTGGTATGATAGACTATACTCCCCGGAGCACAATACAATGGCAGCTAGTACCTTAGAACAATCGGTGGATTCTACGATTGCCCCGTTAGGAAAGACGTTGCTTTTCTTGACCATTATGAAACATGCATTCCATACCGCTTGCATTGAACTACTTCGATTTATGAACGTCCCTCCTTTGAGGGCTAGGCCATCATCATTCAAAAGGACAAGTCACCATGGTATACGCTGCTCGGTTCGACCACCGACCCAATCCTGCATCTTAAGACCGGCGATTTCCCTACCTGTTCGTCTCTACGACGCCGTTTCATGACCAAGACGCTGGTGGACCTTAGGACGTAGCCTGTCCGCCGCTTTTCCACAGCGGAGCAAAACCACCCGAGGGCTTCCAGCCGCTTTGCTTGTAGCCAGACTCGTTGTCACTAGCTTTCCAGCCGGCCTGTTGGTAGCCGGATTGATCGTTGGGGGACTTCCACCCTCCCTGCTTGTAACCGGTCTTGTCATCAGAAGACTTCCAATCGCCCTGCTTGTAGCCGGACTGATCGTCACCGGAGGACTTTGACGTTCAAGGTTAACAGTTTTAGTTAAGTTATCAAGTAAGGTATGTAAGTTACTACTTGGCACTTACCATCACGATTCACTACTAGTGCACCCCGCAACTTGGCCAGGAAATCATACCCGTACTACCCCTTACATTCTCTCCCTTGACGCCTTGACAGCGGACTCAGCTGCCGCATCCGCACTGGTGGTACTGTAATGTGTTATCCACAACTTAGGTATGTTGTGTAACAACCGGAATACCAGCTTGACACATTCCAACATCAATCAAATCAATGGAACGCTGTCACGTTGCATTTGCACTAGCGACATGGGAAAAAAAGATTCGCTGCTCCGAAGGAGTGACACAAGAGACGGAAGGAAAAAGAGAGAGAGAGAGAGAGAGAGAGAGCCAGGGACACCCAAAAAACCCATGCCATGGGCAAAAAAAAAGTCCTTCAATTCCTTTCGTTTTTAAGTCATGTCCGTCCACGGTCCACTCCACCTCTCAACAACAACAACCATGGTCTTCTTCCCCCCATCTGGCGGCGATTGATGGTAAGTGCAGGGGTCTTTGGAATGTATGGTAGAAGTCACTTCCTGGGCTGTTTTCTATGGGGTGTTTTGGCATGTCCTTCTTGACCCCCTGGTTTGCTGGACAGTCGTTGACTTCTGTTCTGGAAGATGATTCCATATGTACTGTGACGATGCCTGCTATCATTCCGGATGACCCTAAAAGTAAGGACCGCAATGCCAGCTCGACCTGTTTGTTACCTGCGTCTTCAGACTTGCCTGCCCCTTGCCTTGTCTGGTCTCTTGCCTTGGTACCTAGTGATACCCTAGTGGCCATATGTCTGATCGGGCGGCTCACCGCTCGCCGCGCCCGTGTCGATGATTTCGCTCAGATAGCCTCAAGACCCTGACATAATAACGTATCCACGTCCTCGGCACTATGCCTCAGTCTATGCCACCCATATACTTATGTTGCTGCAAAAAGCCATTACGCCACAGCCAACGATAGAGTGCAGAGATAAGAAGAAACTAGCACATACGACCACAGGGTGTGGAAAATAGGGCTTCCCGTCCGCTCAGCCGTACTCAAGCCACACGCCGGGAGGTTAGTAGTTGGGTGGGTGACCACCAGCGAATCCCTTCTGTTGTATGTTTTTGCTTCTAGTTTTTCTGTTGTGGGTAATAGTAGACGTACCCAATTTATGAAAAGGATGAAGAAGCAAACAAAGGCGAGAGATTTTCCAAGTAGCGTGGGTAGAGGGGATTGCCCCTGGAATGTCGGCGCAGGTGAAGACTAACTTACAGAGTTGGGCAGAGGACGGGTCCGAACAGCGGGTCGGCGATGCGCCCATGGGTGGACCGCTGATGAATGCTATCCTGTTTACTCCATATACTGTGGTAGATCTTCCCCTCTTGTTTTCAGTCAGTGCACATGCTGTTTTTCCCTGCTCTCATCCTTGCTGTCCTAAACTCAGGGACCCCGCGACCCCGCCTCAATCTCGAGAACCGAGAGCGACCACTTCAAAAGTGTTGCACAAACAACGAAAAGTCGGCCCAGCTTAGCCATGTATGTCCATCGACACCAACAATTCTGATTTCCTCGGCTCCCTCGGCTCCATGGTTGACCTCCCCCTGAAACAGAAATAAAGAGGTAGGCAATGCTTGGGGAAGGACCCTCAAGCCTGCAGACTCCTTGCCCTTGAATGTATAGGCGGAGAAAAGTAACTGAGTAGAATTCTGTCTGGTTGGCGTTTGCTGAAGCTACAGATGCTCTACTCTAACGGACGGCAACCCCCTAAATATGATGGAAGAGTAATATCTCGTTCCACGGAAAGTGTGTCTCGGCTCTATGTACGATAGTATGAAGATAATATAATGAGATATCTACAACCCTCTCCCCTTGTGCATCAGCGGACAGTATTCCCATTCAAGCCGAATTCTCCACATGCAGCATCACCCCGGGCAGACCCGACCCCTTGGAGACCCCAAGTCCATCGGAAACTCTGACAACCGACTGCCGCACGGCGACGGTCAGTGCACTCGGACCGCAGCACGCGACCGCCACCTCGCCGTTGGCTTGCAGCACCGCTGCCTCGATGTACGCGTCAAAGGTGGGCCTCCCGGTCTGCACCGAGACCCCCGGCATGGTCAGCAACAGCTGGTCGGCGGCGGCAGCAGGGCAGACGGCAAGCTTTTCGCTGCCGTAGGTATCGCCGCCCGCTTGGGGGCTGTCGGTTGGAGTCTCGATCGGAGCATCTTCTTTTTCTCCTTCTGCTTCTTCCGCCCACTCGGTAGTGGTGGTGTCGCGGGTGATGAAGAGTTTCACGTGCAGATGGAACGCGCCGCCTTGCTGTTGTTGCTGCTGCTGCTGCTGCTGTTGCTGCAGCACCTCCCGCAGTTCCTGTTGGATCCAGGACAGGCACTGCCGCTCGCGCACTACCCAAATAAAGGTGACGTGGCGCAGGAGACCGATTTCCTGGCGCGGGAGGTGGGCAAGATGAAGCAGCTGGGACAGCGTGAATGTGACCCCAGTCCCGCCGGCTATGAGCAGAACGGAATCGAAGCTCGACAGGTCTGGGACGGTGCTCGGGTACGGCCCATCGATCCACGCCCGGTAGGCCGACGGGTGGCGGTTCACGGCTGCGTGCTCATCCGCGAGGGGCTCTTCGGACTGCGGGGACGACAGCTCGGCGGCGGTACGACGGGCGGTGCGCAGCAGTCGATCGGTGAACCCGCTCCGGGCTTTGAGGATGAGGATCAGGTCGCCGTGGTGCGAGGTCGGGGTGGACAGGATGGTGGCGGGATGCGTGGACAGCGGCCAGGCTAGGCGCGGTAGCGAGAGCAGGATATGCGCTCCAGGGGACCAGCGGCGGAGCGGGTGTGCGGTGATGCACACGCGAGTAGCCCCTCCCGCCATGGCTTCCAGACGCGCGTGCCCCGGACGAGCAGCGTTGGTGTAGCCCACCCAGCAGAATCGGACAAGCATCGTGACAATCCAGATGGCGGCGCTCACGTAAATGTACCGCTGCGTGGAGGGCTCGGTGCCCATCTGCAGATGATAGGAGATGGCGATGATGAAGCCGAAGAAGGTGATCAGATGCTGAATCACGAACAGCTCATAGCAGAGGCTGCGAAACGGGGCCAGAGTGGTGAGATTCATCCATAGCACAAAGGCATACGCGGCGATCCCGGTGATCGGACACGAGTCCGTCGTCCACTCTAATCGGCTAATCTCGTACACATCCCACCCGTGGTTCTGACAGGCGAAATGCAAGGTGGACAGCAGCAGCAGACCCCGAGCTACCCAGCGGTGATAGAGGTTCAACCGCGTGTAGTTGGACACCCCACAGAAGAGGCCAATCAGGTTGAATTTCCCGGCCAACGCCACGAGGAGAGGGATTTGCGCGGTCGCGAGCCATCCCGCCCGCGTTCCCAGCAGCTGCCAGTACATCGCCCCAGGCGCATGGTTGTTGTTGAATTCCAGCCCAAGAAGAAAACTGAAGTAGGCGGCGATGAGCCAGAGCGAGCCCATCGGCGGGATTTGAAGCCATCGGGGGGACCATTGGAGATAGGAGGCTTCACGCACCAGCGCGGTCGAAGTGGCAAGCCCGGTGCTGAAAGCGGTATAAAGCTTTCCTGGTCGATGGCGACCGGGCTTTCTATTTGTAAACATCAGAACTTGAACACTCGGCCCAGTCTACTGTCATGAACTGGAATGTACTCGGGACTTACCGCATTCTGCGAGCCAGAACCCAAACCCGATTTACCGCAGCGACCACCACCAGCAGCGTGATTACTCCGTACCAGAAATGCTCCGCCGCTTGGCTCCCTTCTAACGGAGCCGCGGCCAGGTGCTTGAGATCATGCAGAAACATGGCCTTCTGAGTCTCATTGGTGAGATTGAAGTCCGATGCGCTTAGGGTGCCATGGTAGCTCCCCCCGGACATTCCTTGCATCTGCATTGTGGAGGGCAAACTGAGAGTGATTTGAAGGAATGAGATGATAGTTCATCGGATGACCGGATTCTTATCTCGCGGGCAAACTCGGCCCGCTCAATGCTTAGCAAGAGCTTAGCAGGTACGGGTGGGACCTGCTGCCGTAATAATCTGCTCAAGACTCACGTAGGCGCACGACTGCATAAGAAACCTAATGCGTACTGATAAGGTACAGCACAAACGATGTAGGCTACCCTCTGCCTCAGGCTTCCACCTTTGTCTCTGTCAAATCGTCAGGACCATTAATGTCACGTGATCTTATATGGGCGCTTGGAAAACATTCCAGCCGGACAAGCTACTTCTTGAAGTACCGACCGGCACCAAGTCAGTTTCCCTCTTTGTACCTTGGTACTATACTGTGCATACTATACCTTTCTGCTGATCTCCCGTAAGCATCACAACTTAATACTAATACTGTTTACTTCTAGTATTCGTCCATACCTAGCGCCTCGGGTGAGGCTTAGGGTAATCAGATTTAAATAAATAAGCCTAACTCTGGCCATTATTATCCTGCAGGGCTCGTCTCAAACGGAAGAGACCAATAATTATAAACAGTTATGATGTAAAAGCTTGAGAAGCGTACTATCGCTCAACTCACAACTAAAGTGCAGGAGGCAGTTTTTTGATTCCTGAAATCTAGGCTACCTGCGCCAAACATAGAACAGGTGATATATAGATGTGTGCTGTAATTTGCGGGGTGTCGACAATCACAGACTTGATTCGGTTAGGCCTCTCCTCCACTGCGGGCGTCAATCAGGCCACCCGCCTGGCAAACCAAGCCCCCCGGACGATCACCGGCATACCCTGGCTCACAGCCACAATGTCTCAGGTGCGGGCGGAGGTCAATGTTTGCTCAAAGTAAGACAAGCATCCAATAATCGATGACAAGTGCAGTAACTTCTGCTCCAGGACTAAAAGTCACTATCCCCTCAGCGCGTGTGCTCTGGCTATAAAGGACATCTCGGCCCATGGAAAACAATGTATTCGAAGAACTGATTTAGCCTCACCCAAACTTGAGCACAGTGCTTTCAGGCTGTGCTACAGGGGTTTCGGTTCGGATCAGGGCTGCATGCTTACTAGACACGGCATTTAGCGCGGTTTGCACGACTGTCCTGCAGGGTCTTCTCGGCCCCTTTCTTGGAGGTTCTTTAGTGAGAGGGGCCACCCATCACACATCATTGGTCTGAAATCCTTGAAGTTTGCTTGAGGTCTGGCTGCGATATTTTTGTCCGCGAATAGGAGACCAGAGGCAGTGCATTTACGTGGTTATGCATCAAACCCCAACACCGGAGTGATCATCGTGGGGTATAGGTCTCATATGCTAACGGCACGCCTTACCCATTGCTTTTTCCAAATCAAGAAGGCATTGGTGAGCTGAAATGATCGGGGGCCCCTCTGGAATACGCATATAAGAGTAGATAAGTTCGCTCCGAACTGTCCGAGAAAGCCATCCACAGCAACAATCCCACAGTTTGCCTCTCCCGAACTCCTTCGAACCCAAGATCACACTTCCAGTATCTATCTCACAGCAGACAACCAGAATGGTCAACCTCGCAGGTCTCACCGTCGCGATCATGGCCGTGTCCCTGGCCCCCCCGGTCGCAGCGAGAAACTGCAAGACGGGCCTCAATTATTGTGGTTACAATCTTCTCAATATCGGTATGTGTGTGACCCAGGGATAAGGAAACTTTCTACCCTGAGTTTATTGACGTGAGGGCTGTGTAGGGAACTACGCCGCGCAGATTAACCAAGCCCTTTCCGACGCCAGGCAGCCCGGCGATAATACCCACATCCACGAATCGATCTTCCACTGCAACGGAGGATCCAACGGCGACATCACTTGGCTTGCCTACTGTAGCTCTGGGTGCAAGGATGGTGGGTCCGGGAAGAGCGATTTCTGCTAGACGGGTTGGTTGTGGGGAGAAGATGAGGCTTGTCTTGTTGGGAGTATGTCCTGGCTTATGCGCGCATTCTAAGAATCAAGTCATTGCAGAAAAGTGTGCTCAACAGGCTGCCGCAGGTTAGCCCTAGAAGTTGCTCCTCACCAGGAAAGTTTTAATTACACCTGGCACATTTTTCGATAGCCGGTCTTTTGTTTATTCTGACGGCACAATTTCTGCATAAACACAGGCTAGTAAAAACGTTTCCGTAAATGCGATTGCCAACACAGTGTGGAGGATCTGGCTTTCCGTTTCGGTCCCCGACGCGCTTTGCGTGCTGTTTTGTTTTAAGAACACGGGGTAATCGTGGGATTAGACTCCCTTGCATATTAGGGAGATAAAGCCTTTGTGGACAAAAGGTAATGCCATTGGGTTCCTTTTTTACAACATACCTTGTGTATTCTTTTGATTAAAGGAGTTAGGGTTTGTATTTCTGCTTGATTCTGCCGGCAGATCCTTTTTTGCCCGAGTGGCCGCAATAGTCTTCTGGAGGGAAGACGGCTATTTCAGTAGGCGGTCGTCACTGCGGTAAATATACACCTTCCTGCCTCACCCCGCGCTTTCTTCATCAACCCCACATTGAGAGGCTACTGCTACAAACAAACCACAAAGAATGTCACACAGGTCCATCCTTGGTCTTCCTACCGAGATTCTTAGCCAGATCCTTTCTATCTGTGAGCAAGTTTCCCAGAAGGGAGAGTCTCATTGCACTGCCCCTTTGCTCACCTGCCGAAAGCTCTACCATCTCACACTTCCCGTCCTTTACCGCGACCTACGGTTCACCTACTCCTCTCAGCCGCGGACAAGCTACCTGCACCGGTCTCTGGAATCCGATCCGAGCCTATATCTGCTCGTCCGGTCTCTATTGTTAGATCTGCGACCGAAGAATCCAGGCGAGTATATCGCGCTCGACGACTATGTGGCGGCCGCCAATGTGTTAAGCCGGTGTGAGGTGCTCCATTCGCTGCAGATCTGGGGCACCGCCTTCCTGTCGCCCGAAGACCGGAAACCTTACCAGATGGAAGCGCCGCCGGGCCGATCGCCAATCGACCTCTGCCGATGGGAACTCTTGCAGTATGCTCTCTTCCAACGCCCCACATTGCGGAGGGTGGAGATGGCCAGCAATCGAGATTCGCCTGGCCATGGCTTCAAGCTCCGCTTGGATTGTCAGGTGCAGGCCCGTGATTTGCGGTTGTTGCCGGGTAGGGGCATAAACCTCCCGGTGCCAGGGACGACTCCCCAAGAAGAGATTAGGTTGCGAGTTGGTTTCCCCTTCTCTTTCTTTCCATTCCTTTGCCGGTTTCTCCTGTTTCCCTCATACTCGATTTACCTCGCAAGGACCATGTCCTCAGGAGAAGATCAATCGAAGCTGACTCAAACACTTTTAGATATTACGGAAAAAAGATGATGCAGGTATGCAGGGGGACGCCCGCCGCCGCTTGATTGACTTCAGCATAGCATTCGGGCCCGGCCACGCCGGCAAGGAGTATGAATGGAGGAACTTCGAGTTTACCCTCGTCTTCTTCTGGATGAAGCATCGTCCGCACATCCTCCGGCGCCTGGTTCTTGGAGACTTCAAGCCCCCTCCGCTGGTCAAGGAGTTCCAAGCGGCAGCGTACCCCAACCTACACACGGTTGTCTGTCCGCCGGCCCACGTGAAGGAGCGCAGGCGTAGGCATAGCCCGTACAAGCCGCCCTCTGAGGTGATCGATCAGCTTCTGGGCCCGTCGGTGCATACGCTTGTGTTCGACCTGACCAGCGATGACCAGCACATTGGACTGTCTTCTTCCGCGTTCGGGGAGCCAGAGGAGCGGTGGCTGCGGGAGCTGGGCCAGCTCGCCGCCGCCCCGGACCGAAACTTGGCGCTGCGGACGATCTACATCGACTTTAAACCAGACCCAGACTGTGAACAGGGATTCGATCCAGCGAACTATGCCTGGGACCGTCTAGTGCGATTGCAAAGGCAATTGCAGCCCTTGGGGATTAGCGTGGAGTATCCTGCACCTTCGATGACGCGAGAGGAGTATCACGAGCTGTGTCGCCAGCATCAAGAGTGGATTGCGGATGAAACCGTGAGAAGAACGGGGTTAGAACCTCCAGATAATAGCGGCGGTCTCGAAGTGTAACAGGATGATGTCGCGACTCACAGGTATATCGACTATTCGGGCCCTGGCATCGTGGTAAACCTGGCTAGTCACTAGCCTCATCCATTCTTTTTTTAAGCTAAGTCCAAAACGTTGTCTCAGCTTCCTTGGATTTTTGATCATGCCTTTATCCTGAAATCTTCGAGCAGCAATCTGGGTCTATTTAAAGATATGTGTAAGGTGTTCAAGATTCGAAAACGTGTTTTCATCAAACAAACAAAGCTTTGTGTTGGGGCTAATTAAGACTGTCGGCCGAAGAACCAGCTAGCAGGGCTGAGCGAACTAACGCCATGTCGGATGATCTTTTTACTCAATTTTTTTACTTGACTTACTTAGTCCAATCTAGCCTATGAGACTAGCATAGTATCCACCCCACTAGCCCATGGTGCATGAAGCAGGGCCCCCATCCACAATCCAGTCATACTTAAGCGACATGACTAGTCCCATCCCATTGCGATAAGACCATGTGTTCGGCGTAGTGTAGGCCCCTGATTTACCAAGCGTGTGGTGCAACTTTTTCTCACACCTTGTAGCATGCGTTTTTCTCTCCCTCAACATCAAGATTCCACCAGCGAGTTCTGTCTCTATCTGCCACAACCAAACCACCCAAGATGTACGCCATCCTTCGACTGGCTTTTCTCTCCCTGTTCATCTCACCTCTCGCCTGGGCTCAGCTGGAGACAATCGACATCATCACCTCTGGCATTCCTCGAACCAGTTCAACCTCATCGACCGACTCGCCCTCAACGTCGTCCTCAACCTCGACCCCCAGCTCAACATCATCGACATCAGCTCCGCTTCCCACCTCCCTACCCAGCACCACAACCGCAACCACAACCACCCCCAACAACCCACTAGACCTGACCACAATCTTCACCCAACCCTCCGACTGCGCCGGCGGAATAACCGCGATAGCAGCCTGGTCGACGGAACTCTGGCAGAACATCATCAACCCGGCGCCCACCCTAACGCTATCCTCCTGCTACCCGAGCCAATTCTACTACAGCGCGACCACAACGACCATCCTGCCACCATACACCCAGCTAGTCTGCCCACTGGACTGGGAGGCGTACAATCTCACCGAGACGTATCTCGTCTGCTGTCCGAGGTAAGTTATTCCCGCAAGCCGTCCGTCATCGCCCAGATATCGCTGACGGGGTGGATGCCGTGCAAAGCGGGTACGGAGTCTACTTGCCCAACTACCACAACCCGACGCGCCCCGGGCTGGGCGCCGTCTGCACATCCAGCGTCTGGCCGAGCGTGCTGATGGACATCACCAGCTACGATGCCGCGGGGAAGGTGACGGTTGTTCCGACCTCTGCGGGGCAGGACGGGACGTTGGTGTTTGCGACGGCGTTTGATGGGACCGTGGCGACGGTTGTGAGTGAGGCTTCGGCGACGGCGGGGGGGGTCTCTGGTTCTTCGGGCGAGGGGCCTGCGGGTGGTGCTGGGGCTGGGGCTGTGGTGTCGGCTGGCGCGGAGACTTCGGGAGTGTCGAGGGTGTTCATGTCTTGGGGCTGGTACTTGATTTCCCTGTCTTTGGTTCTGTGATGGCAGTAGAGGTCTCTTTTTTTGGGGGGGGCGGGGGGGGCGGATAGAGTTGAGAGGGTTTATGTTGATAGAGTCCGCGTGCTCGGGTTATAGCAGGTGTGAGTGTTTGACTTGCTCGCTCACGTTGAGTATACCATACAAAATTATCCGGGCTTGTATGCCCAACTCCAAGTTATGGTTTTTTCCTGACTCTGGAGTTTATTATGGGTATGCGATGAGTCACTGGAAGATCGCAAAGAACTAAATGCTGACCCCTACGGAGCTCCGACGGTTGCACCGGTCTTCAAATAGGCTAACTCATTCAGGGTCCGAACTGATATCTAGATACGCCCCAAATAAGCACTACCAAGCACCGGCTAAGCACGATTGAACGCTAGTAGGACGGCTGCATGTGCTAGCTTGACGGACTGGCAAAGTGTCTCAGGGTTCGCATTAGGGCCCAATGGGTCAATGCCAGGCGCATGACCTGTGCTTCGTGGTTGACTTTTTCTTATCCCATTTTCAATGGGCGAACGGTCACTCGGTGGAAATCTGTTTAGTGGAATTTGAGGTTCAGATTGGGGATTGTAACAGTCAAAGGTTAAGCTGGCTCTACCCAGGGTGGCCTTTTAGGAGCCTGTGGCGCTGCTGGTGCGCTTCCCGGAACGCTCCGAGCCAGCCGGCCAACTGCTGCTCGGTGCCTTGCATGGGTTATCTCGCTTAGCTCTTGCGGCCATAGTATTGTGTTTAGTAGCTTTCGTGGGAGAGTAGTTTTAACTTCGTCGGTCACTGCTGTGCTATTGTCATATAAAAATGCTGTGACTTGCAGGCATGAACACGATAAATTGGATCTCTCGCACATCACAGTCTAGAGCGCAACACTTAGATGTATAACTCGCAGACGACAGAGTCTTTCGCTAGATGAGGCTACAGCCTAGCTGAGTCCGAGTCAACCATTGTAGCCCATTCCTGTATACATGCACAATTCACCCTTGAAGCCTAGCAATCGCCACTATCCACACATCCTACTCCTCGATCTCAACCACAAGCCCAGGCACCAACTCCACGCTCCCCGCTCTCTCTCCCTTCAACGCCAACCGAATCCCCCGCTCCTCCGCATTCTCACTCCCCACCAATCTCACCTTACGTCTTCCTCGGGCCTCTTCAGACGGAACATCCACCCCCCACAAAGCCTCAGACCCAGACCCTTCCTCCTCCCCCAAAACCGCAGTATACACCTCGCTCAACCTCTCCCTCTCGCCCTCAGGCACAACAACAGTCACCCCCGTCACCCCCGTCACGCCCGAAGGATGCCTGGTCAGCCCTTCACCCTCATCCTCATACGGAACCCGCCACGCCCTAGGCGTCGTATCCAAACACCAAAACGGCAACCGTCCCACCCCAACCTTCCCTTCATCCCCATCAACCGCAGAAACAACCGCAGAACTGATCTCCCACTCCAACCGCACCCCATCCCCCTCCCTCACCCTCCCACCAGCCACAGGATCTGTATACGCAATCCCCGTCACGGGCCGTCTGCCCTCCACCCGCCGCTGCACCGCCCCGAACTCCTTGCCCGAGTCCAGCGTGAGCGCCCAATCGATGACCGTGTTTTCGGGCCGGGTGCCCCAGCGGTGCGACCGGCGCGTTTCGGGATCGATGCCGTCGACGAAGGCGATCAGCTCGAGGTACACCCCGTCCTGCAGCAAAATGAGCTTGTTGGTGGTCAGGCCGTCGGCGTGGGTGCCGCCGGGGGCGAGGTGGAAGGTTTCAGTGAGGCGGGCGGGGAGGGAGTCGAGGGTGGGGTGCAAGACGAGGAGGACGATGTGGTCGAGGAGGGGTTGGGGGGGCATGCTGGGTGGTGGATTGTCTTGTGAGCGCGTTTAAAGGTGCAAGATGGGGTTGTTGGTGGTAGTTAGGTGGATTTGATGAGGTTGGTGGTCGGTGGAAGTTGCGGTTGGGAAAGGGGAGCTGGGTGAGGGGATGAAGGGGTCATGAAAGGTTTGTTTATGTCAGTTGCTGGTGCGGGGTTGGGGATTTGCTCATCGGGGCGCGGAGGCACCTCATCTTATCTTCGGTGCCCATTGGACAGCCGAGAACCTTTGTTTGGTCAACCGTGACACAACCTTTCTCGTGTACGAGTTCTAGTTGGCGGGATGGGAGTGAAATGCTACTGTAGAACTATCGATCACATCCATCGCTTTGTTTCGGATGTTTCCCTTAAGTCCGGACGCAAGCCAACCTCGGATGCTCTTCGGCTAACCTCCCGGTGGACACAGATTGTGCTGCAACCGGAATCGCTTTCGGCACTGGCTTTACACTCGAGTCGGCTCCGTCACTGGAGGGGTCGACTTAGAGGCACGAGCCCTGCTTGTTCCTGGTAGCTTGCCTCCACCCCCCCCTGCTAGCCGTGAGTACTCTTTGGCACTCAATCAAGTCCGCCAACTCACTTTGTATGTGGGTCTCTCTTGTGGGGGGATGCGGATTCCACTCAAATGTGACCAAAGGCGAGCGTGAAGACGAGGTTTATAGCCCACAGGTACTGCGGTAGGCGCTAACGCAGCCGCCTCGCCTCGGAGGAACTGCTGTTTTCTTGCTCGGGCCCTCTTTTGAATAGGGATTCCCTTCACCGCTTGCTCTGCCCGCAATTTTGGAGACCGCCTGCAGTAATCTCCTCTTCCTCTATTTGTAGGCAAGGGGACTTTGTTTCGGCGCATCGATTGTACTATAGCGGATTTACCTTACTAGTTGGATCATATTTACTTCCCAGCTATGACGCCTGTCTTTTGGGCTTTCCCAGTCCAAAGCACTGGCGTTTGAGAATTGTATATCGTTGCGTGTAGCCCATACCCTCTAGGAGAGTCGAACTCAATATTTCGAGGGCTTATTCCTTGATGCCTTAAAACAGTGATACATAATTGGTCGCCCAGATTAATCAGCTACCTAAGCTACCTTGTCAATAAGTACACTGGCTCGTGGAGATGATCTCTGGTCCACGAAAGGTGTATCTACGCTATTTATGTATGCTGTTGCGGCCACGCTAATTCTAAGTAGATGCTGATCGGTTCTTCGAGCACTCAAGTTTGACCGACTGAGTCTATAGATAGTAGACTTGGAACATGGCAGGTCATTGAGCTTAAAGACTGAGAAGACTGCGACCACCTCTATCTTCACAAAAGCCGATCCTTCCTTCTTGGAATCCAATCATCATGTCTAGCGGGTACAGCACCAAAATCCATCGCTCAAAGATAAATCATGAATGAAAAGCATCGGCATACAACCCAGCCGAGTCATCCCACCGGCACCGAGCAGCAGAGCTGGTTAACGGACACAGCAAGAACCCACCGCAGCCAAGAACCCAGCCCCGCTGCATATATTGACATACTCGGCAGCGAAGCCTGGAGGCCTTGCTACTCACCTAACATGGGACCACTTTTCCCGTTCTACAACCCTGAAATCGTGTTACAGGATTACCTTATCCGGGTTAAGCTGCGGGACCCTGAACAGAGAATTATCTTATCTGATCAACATGCAATTTGCATCCGGGGTTGTGATTAGTGGGCAGCCCCATTCACCCTGAGACAACCCACATTGCCAAGAGCCCGTCGCGGCCGGGCGAAGAACACCAGCACCGGTGCTGAGGGTGGGATGAGGTATAAATTCGAGGTCAACGAAGTCAATGGCAGTCTCGGCTAGGACAAATTTTTTCTCGCATATCCAATCAACGCAGATCTCGCACGTCAACCATAACACCTCACCATGCGTCTCTCCAACGTCCTTGCTCTCCTCTCCCTGGCAGTCCTGCCTGCCTTCGCTAGTCCAGTCGAGAGCAACAACCAGGTAATGCAGTTCTTGCTTTCCAGCATCTGAGAAACCGCCACTCCCCAAGATACTGATCATGTGTTTGGTGAATAGGAGCCCTCAATCAGCAAACGCTGCTGCATCCTCTGCGACAACCCCTACGCCCGCTGCGGCGCGAACGACAAGCGCGAGGCCGTCGAGACGGAGGCGGAGGCGCTCTTCGGCCCCGTCGCCAAGCGCTGCTGCGTCAACTGCGACGTCAACCGCTGCAAGCGCGACGAGGAGCCCGTGGCCTGGCCGGCGAAGCGCTGCTGCATCCTGTGCGATAACCCGTACGCGAGCTGTTTGACGAACGATAAGCGGGAGGCGGTGGAGACTTTGGAGGAGGCTGTTATGGGGGAGTATTAGGGGCTGTCTGCAAGCTAGTGCTATTGTTCATGGGGTACTTTTAGAATCTAAGAATACATGTTGGCATACGTCAGGTGGTTTTCAAATTGTTAAGAATTGGGCGGCCAGGCTCTAGGTCAAGGTAATCAAACTATAAATGAGACACACGACTCCCTTGTGAGTTTCTATGTGTGAGCTATAGTAAGCTTCTTCAACCGTTCCCTATTCAATGACATTATGCTTTCCCAAGAGCTTTACATGCATATGCATAGACCTCAAGACAATGTGTTTGTCAAGAACTGTAATCAGGGAGAAGGAGATAACACCTTTTTATTCATTAAGTGGTATACTTAATACGCTTTCCTCCAGATCTTGAGTGTATGTTGGGCAGTGCAGGACTATAGACTACGGAAGTCTTATAGTCATACAGTCGCGACAGTCTCCCAAATCACCGGAGCGACAACACAGGATAAGTGACCCCTGGCCTGCAAGGGCAGCTGCAAGGGATGCATGCCACGACGGCCACGACCCCAAACAACCCGATCCAGCAGCCAGCCCAATAGACTCACGCACCTCGAATCTCAGACACACATCCAACAATACGTAATCACATATCGAGCAATTCACCGACCAGACAGACCTCAGTCACCTCTAACCTACACCCTCCCTCCCTTCCTCCCTCCACCACGACACCATCCCATCCCATCCCAACCCACCAACTCAACAACCACAACCCACCCAACCAACAATGCACCTCACGCGCAATCAATGGCTCCAAGCCCTCACCCTCGCCCTACGTACATCCCCATCCCCTTGCCCCCTCCATCCCCTCCTCCTATCCCAACCTACAACCCACACTAACAAAAAAAAAAGTCCCAATCCAAGCCACCGCCAAAATCCTAACCACAGCCCCCGATCCCACCACCCCCGCCCTAACCTACAGCATCACCATCCCCAACACCAACACCAACACCAACACCAATACCACCTTCCCCCAATCCTCCTCCCTCAATTCATCCGAAAAGACCCAAGCCGGGACTGGACCAATCTACCTCCGCCTCACCGCCCCAACAACGATGCAATGGGTCTCCCTCGGCCAAGGGCCCGACATGGCCACCGCCAACATCTTCATCGTGTACGCGGCCTCCGCCACGACCGTCACGCTCTCCCCGCGGTCCGGGGGCCAGGGCCAGCCGAGTTATAACCCCGCTGCCAATGTGACGCTGCTCGAGGGGTCGGGGATCGTGGATGGGAGGATGGTGGCGGAGGTGCGGTGTGAGAACTGTTGGGGGTCGTGGCCTGCTGCTCCTTCTGGGTCTGGTGGTGCTGTGGTGGAGGGGGGTGAGGGTGGGGTTGGAGCTGCGACTGGGGCTGCGACTGGGGCTGGTGGTGGTAGCGGCGGGTTCGTGATGGATCGCAACGGGAATGAGACGGCGTGGTTCTGGGCGTATCAGCTGGGTGCGCCGCTGGACAGTGCGGATGTGGGGGCGGAGTTGGGGATGCATGATGTCAAGGGGGAGATGGTGTGGGATTTGAGGGAGGCGGGGTTCGAGGTTGGTGAGACGGGTTTGGAGGAGGGGTTTAATCCGTTTGCTTGAGGGGTTGAGGTTCATTGTAGAGGGGGAGGTGCACTGTCGAGGGGAAGGTGGTGAAGAGGTAGTTTGTTGCGTGGAAGGGTGGGTGGGTGGCAGTGCATGGAGTAGGGGTTTGACAGTCTGGTGGAGAGTGTACTGGGCTCATAAGCAGGTAGAACGAGGAACGTGAGAATGGAAACCAAACGAGGGTGGAACCAGCATATGCAAGCGACGAAAACTAATTATTTATTATAAGCAAATCAAAGCACTATCTTGTACATCATTACTTAGGAAATGCACAAGAACGTAGACTATAAACATGCCATAACCCCAGTGCAACCGACCATCCACCCAACCACTCCACCGAGAAAGGCCTACTCCTCCCCCTCCCCAAACTGCCGCGTCCACTCCTCCCGCCCCATCTTCCGCCCAAACGCCCCCGTCATCCGATCAAACCGCCACCGATAAACCGGCCACACCACCGAAGCCACCACCCCCATCACCCAATCCCTAACCGGCCGATCCCGCGGACTCGGCCCGCGCATGTTATTCAGCAGCAGCTCCGTCTCCCCGTCGACCGTGATATACCCCTGGCCCGCGCGCAGCCCCCGCAGCGTCAACTCGGCCACCTTGGCCGCCGTCAACCCGCCCTTGTTGTCGGCCGACCCCTCCATCTCTTTCAGCAGCTGCGGCTTGCGGATCTGCTCTTCATAAAATGCATCCGTGTAGATCGTGCCCGGGAAGCTGCAGTGCACGCGGATGTCCTGCTGCGCGCGGTAGAGCAGCACCTCCGACCGCAGGGTGTCGGCCAGCGCGCGCGTGGCGGCTTTCGTGGGCGTGTAGGCGGCGTAGCCCGGGAAGCCGAGGAAGGCCGCCGTCGAGGCGGTGAAGATCAGGTGCCGTTTGCTGTTACTGTTGCTGCTACTGTCGGCGGGCGGCTCCTGCAGCCAGCGCCGGAGGCAGGCGTGCGCGATGTACGCGGCCGCGAAGTAGTTCTGGTCCATGCAGGATTTGATTTCTTCAGGGGTGATGTTGGCAAAGAAGCCGACTTGGGCGGCGGTGCCGCCGGCGACGATGAAGAGGATGGATGGTGGGGTGGGGAGGGAGGTGATGAATTCTTGGACCTGAGGGGGGCCATGTTAGTATGTGCTGGTGGGAATGGGGTATGGGGTAGGGCTGAGTGTGGAAGAGGGGGGTCCAGGGACAGGCTTACCTGTTTCGGATCGGTCAGATCGACGGCGGCGGCGTTGATGACCTGATCCGCGGACTGCGTGTGGGAGAGCAGCTCTTTACGGGTCTCCTCGAGTGGGCCGGGACTTCTGGCTAGGATGGTGACATGGGCGCCTGCACGAGGTGGGTCGCATGTTAGTGGCTGCCTACGTTGGAGCTTGATTTGAGGTCAATGTGCCAGAAAAACATGCCTTGGGTGGTGAGTTGGATGGCGAGTTCGCGGCCCAGACCCTTTGATCCACCGGCGATGACGACGGTCTGCATGCATGTTAGACGGGGACTCTCTGTCACTGCGGGGGTGTGGGCGCCGACAGACCTGGCCTTGGACGTGAAAGTGCTTGCTTTGCGTCATGGTGTCACTTTTACACGCAGTCTTAGTGGATTTGGTGAAGAATGTACCGTACTATGGTTCAGTTCCGGAGGATAAACAAGAAATGATTCAGGGGTATTTCGCACAACCATGGGTTGATCAGGCTGGGATCTTTGCATGACTAGTGCTTATCGCCCGACGGAGTATTGTATTTCCGGCCTCAGCCTTGCTCGACGATCATTCCATAGTCTACCCATCAGGGGTGAAGATCACGAGATGGAGATCGGACATCGAGATGACAGAATGATGCTTCTGGAATGCAAGAGAACTTGATATGTCGGCATGTGCAGCCCTATCTGCCCTCCTCGTCTTTGGACCGGTGACTGCGGCAATTGAACCCGGGACCAGCATTATCGCGATCAACAGTGATTAGCCGGTGGGCCGCGCCAGCAAAGAACCTGTGGGGCCACCGGGGGTTTTGCCCTTGGTGCCATCTCGCCCTCTGGCTGGCCAGCTCTGGCGAACGCCTTCAGTGGGTCAGCGAACTGCCGGAGTCGAATCGGAGATTGGAATCGTCCATAGCGTCGACTCTATGCCCCGTAGACTCATACGCCATACGAGAGATAGAAAATAAACTCTGATGGGAGAACGGAAGCGAGGAAAAAGGAAAATAAGCGATGATCATGATCGTTAGGCACGAGAACCTGCAGCTGTCCGCATGGATCCGCCGCAGCTGAACAGTGGGTCTGTGGTCGTGGGACCTGCGTTGCCGCCCTGTGCAGGTAGATATAATAGCGTGCTTGCCTTCTGGAAACCCAATCTTCTAAAATAGGGTTTGCATATTTCTGTCTTTGGTTGACTGAGAAGCACAATGGCATCGTCTCCCTTCATCATCACGGAGCACATTATTGGGTGCCAGCATGTTCGCGAATACCCTCATGCGACGAGACACGGCGACGACGCGCTGCAGCTGGTAGTGAAGCGGTATACTCCCAAGTCGAACCCGGATCCCCAGCCGGGAGATGTCACAATCATTGGTGCGCATGCGAGTGGGATGCCCAAGGTAGGCATCGTTGTAATTCCACTGCATACTGCGCTCATTAGCCTGACAAGCCACTAATGCACCGAGAACAGGAGCTCTACGAACCAATCTGGGAAGACACCCTCGCAAAGCTCGAGCACCAGGGTGTCCGGATCCGCTCGATCTGGGTCGCTGATACAGCCAGCCAGGCCGCCAGCGGGCTATTGAACAGACAAAATCTAGGGAATGACCGTAAGCAACGCCTGAAAACGACAAGCCTTTTCCATACTGATTCAATTGCAGCATCCTGGTTCGACCACTCCCGAGACCTCCTGCATTTAATCAACACCTTCAAAGCTGAGATGCCACGCCCGATCTTCGGCGTAGGACACAGTCTCGGCGCCGGACAGCTGTAAGTCCCTCGCTTCCCAACCGACACCTTGGATGGGAATGACCGTCGACTCAGAATCTTATTATCCCTAATGCACCCTCGCCTCCTCACCTCCCTCATCCTCATCGACCCCGTCCTGGCCCCGGACGTCCACACCGGCAAAGGCGCCGCCTTCGCCCGCGCCTCCCTCTCCGCCCCCGACAAGTGGGCCAGCCGCGCCGCCGCCACGACATTTCTGCGCAAACAGTATCGCAGATGGGATCCGCGGGCGTTCGATCGCTTAGTTGAGTACGGCCTATTTGACACCCCTTCAGGAGTCAGTCTTACCACCTCGCGCCACCAAGAGGTAATACAGTACCTCCGCGCCAATTTCTCGGGCCGCAAGCCTTTAGTCCCAGAGCATGAGTCGGAGGAGCATGATGCGGTGGTCCACGCGGATATCATCGGTCCCGCGCACGCGGTCGCCCCGTTCTATCGGTACGAGCCGATCCTGGCGTTCAAGCTGCTGAAGCATGTGCGGCCGTCCGTGTTGTATGTCTTTGGTGAGAGGAGTCCGATTTCAACATCGGAGATGCGGGAGGAGAAGGTGGAGCGGACGGGACGAGGGATCGGGGGGAGTGGTGGGCGTTCGCGGGGGAGGGTGAAGGAGGTTGTTGTTCCGGCTGCTGGGCATCAGGTGCCATTTGAAGATGTAGGAGGTGTGGCGGCTGCGATGGCGGGGTGGTTGGGGGAGGAGGTGAGGAGATGGAAGGTAGACGAGGAGAGGATACAGCGGGATTGGGGGGAGCGGTCGGTGGAGGCAAGGGTGTCTTTGTCTGGGGAGTGGGAGACTCAGTTGAAAGACTCTTTGAAGAGGAAAGATAAGGTTGTGAGGGCGAAGCTTTGAGATACCCGTTGAGGATAGATGAGGGATAAGGAAGTAAGCAGAAGCTGGCTTATAGGATAATGTTGGATAGATCATGTCATGCTTAGCAATAAATCGGGAGCATAAGGGCGCTGACTAGGCTTGAAAAGGTGAATTTTTTGGTGTTGTGTTATGGTAATGTTGATATCATTTTTTCGCTCTGCGCATTTTGTTTCTGACTGGAGGGCTAAAGCTCCTATGTTTCTCCCTCACAAACAGTCGAGTCCTCCTTTCCATCCCTTCAAGCCCATCCTTACATTCTGACACAGTCACCTCACTCGTTAGCTTTTGTGTTGATAATTCCTGAATTCATCAGAAGACTCCACAACCAACTCTTTCCAGCACGCAGCAAGCCTCCCCTGGCAAAGCCTGTCCGCAAGGGCTTGACTCGCTCTGACGCCATCATGAGTCTCTCCAGCTTACCCGCCGAGCTCATCCTCATGATCGCAGAAAACCTCGACTCAGAAAAAGCGATCAACTCTCTGACTCGAACCAACCGATTCTTCTACTCCCTGTTGAACCCCTTTCTCTACCGCTCTCATGCACGAAACAACGTCTGGCTCTCTGCTCTGCAGCATGCTGCAAAGCGAAACCTCCCGGGAGTGATTGAACACCTCGTCAATGCTGGTGTTAGTCTCCACAGTCGGGAAACATGGTTCTATCACATACTTTGGAAAATTGGCAAGCCTGATTGTTACCACCCGCTCGTCTCGGCTGCAGGTTCAGGCCACGCCAATGTCATGGAGATACTATTGGACCAAGAAGGACTGACTAGCGGGCTCACCGAAGAACACTTCTCTGGTATGATGTTTTGGGCAGTACGGAACAGCCACACCGAAGTAGTAAAGGTGATGCTGGACCGAAAATTGCTGGGCCCGTGGAGAGTCGATGCTGGCAATTTCCTTTACGATGCTGCCGAAGACAGCTGCATTGATATTGTGAATCTACTGTTGAACGATGCAGATGAACGAACAAAAACAGGCCTCTTATCTGCAACCGTTCGGCAGCGAGAACTGAACAAGGCGCTCCTTGGGGGGATGAGAAGGCAGAACTCTGAAGACATAATCACACTATCACTGAAGGCGGGAGCTGATGTCAATTTCGTTTCTGAGCCGGCGGGTACTCCTCTCGGACAAGCTGCGTACTACAAACACGTGGGTGCTGTGAAGCTGCTCCTTGAGGCCGGGGCGAACCCCAATATTCTCGAATGCCGAAAATGGGGACCACTTGCGCGCGCAATGCAACGCAGGGTAGATGAAAGTGGGTGGTCAGGGCTATCCTCATGGAACCCCCCCGGGCACGATCCAGAAGATCCTGACCTACAAACGCCACCCCACCAGATGTCAACCTTCGTCAGGGAAATCTTCCGTCTCCTTTTCGAGTATGGAGCGGAACCATCTCGAGCTGGGGGTAGTTGGGCACTTCACCGTGCTATATATTATCAGTGTCACGAGGCGGCACACCTGTTGTGCGACAAAGGTACTCAGATCACCACGTCCCTTGTTCACGAATCTCGGCAAGGGGTATTGAACCAAGCAGTAGCGGATCGCGACTTTGCAGCTATCAAGGCTATGGTGCCGGAAGTGTGGTCTAGATATGCCTGAGCAGTACTCCCGAGCTCGACATTCCAGGCATCCAGGTTTCAACATGTACATAAATGGTGTAAGAACTGTTGCTCATTTTTGTTCCAAGCCTGAGATAGTAGTGTCTCAATTGGCTCAGAGAAATTAGCATAAGGTCATCAAGAATTAGCTGCATATCATGAACACACAAGCTTCATATCGTACTATAGCCGCCAAGGGAAAGGACCATTTAGCGCACCCTCCACAACCGATGGATCCTCTAAGATTGTATTGATATCCCTCAGATCAACAAGATAATTGTAGCAGAGTAAGAGACATTGCCCTACATATGATAAGAATTTGACGAGGTCTCCGGTAGACAGGGCTGATTATGTGTTTACTCATCTGGCGTCCCTATCCGCATTAATCCACAGGACCTGACTCTAATTTGAGATCATCATTAACCCTGTAAGACCTTCGTCCAAACCTATCATCAGCCCATCAGCCACTAATCCCATACCCATACCCAGAAACCCCCTAGGGAAAGGGATCATACGCTCCCTCCCCCCAACAAGCGCCCTGCACCTCATCACCCGCAACATCGACCTCAGCAACCCCCTGGGCCCCAAACCTCTTAATTACTCCCCCTCCCACGGCCTCAGCATCAAACGCAACCCACCCCTTCCCTTCCAACCCATGCAGCGGATCCTTCGCGAACGCCAACAAATAATCCTGCATCGTCTCACTAGTCCTCACCTCCTCCCCCGTCGTCTCATCACCCCGCACCAACCCAAATGTCCCAAAATTCATCGTCAAATCACTCGAATGATACGCCCCCATCCACCCCAACGGACTCACATTACTAAAATTGCCCGCAAACTGATACCGATACGTCTTCAGCCCCGCGCGCTGGCGCACCATACTCGTATTCGCACTGACGCACAGCCAATCGCGCAGCGTCACCGCATTCACGCCCTCCTGCCACGGGCCAGCCGTCAGATTATTGGTAGGGAAGGGGTAGAGCGGGGCGGCCTCGTTGGCGCAGTTCGAGATAATTGCCGGCGTCTTCGCGATGAGCCCTTTCGCGGCGCGCGCCGGGTAATCCGCGAAGATGACCTTCTCGTCCGCGACGGGGGCGAAGGTCATGGTGGGGACGGTCTTGGCGTCGCCGTAGCGGCCGATGAAATTCTGGATTTTCTCGACGGGGACCTGGCGCATGCATTCGAGTTCCTTGTGGGGGTGGTGGGGGAAATCGCACCCGAGGTTTTTCGCCACAAAGGTGAAGTTCGAGTGCGTGGTGTCTAGACTGGGGGTGGTCTTGAGGGCCGTGCCGGACTGCGAGATGGTCGCGCGCGCCAGCAGGTTCTCTGGGAAGGCGTAGGTGTGGTAGTCGACGCTCATGGCGCCGGCGGATTGGCCCCACAGCGTGATGGCGCGCGGGTCGCCCCCGAACTGCCGGATGTGCGCGTGCACCCACTCCAGCGCGGCGCGCTGGTCGAGGATCCCCAGGTTCTGGTCGGATAGGCCGGCCGCGTTGGGGAACCCCATGATGTTCAGCCGGTAGTTCGTCGTCACGACGATGTGGCCCTGCGTGCGGTTGACCCATTCGGCGGGCAGCTGATAGGGCACGCGGATCCCGCCGGTGCGGAATTGCCCCCCGCTGTAGAAGACGAGCACCGGCAGGTTGGAGGTCGCGGTTGCGTTGGCGGGCGTCCAGATCGCCAGTTGTAGGCAGTCTTCGGCGCTGTGCTGGGCCATTGCCGCGGCGGTGGAGTTTTGGTCGGGCGCATTGGAGATCAGGAAGTCGGGCACCAGGGTGCCGAAGACGGAGGGGCCCCGGTAGACGTACTGCGAGCAGGCCGGGGGGAATTGCGTGGCATTGTGGTGCTGGTTGGAGGCCGGGAGTGGGTGAGGGGGCAGCCAGCGGCGGGAGCCGACGGGGGGTTGTGCGTAGGGGATGGCGCGGAACTCGCGGACGGAGGGATAGGTTGGGTTGTAGAGGCCGGTGTAACTGCCGGTGCTGGTGTGCACGGTCAATGCGTCGTCACTGTGGTGGGAGGTTGCGGTCACGCATTGCGTGGGTAGCAGCAGCAGTAGCAGCGATGCGGATAATGATGGGACTCTCATTATCACGAGCGGGAGGGTAATTTGGTGGCTGCAGCTACTTCAAGGGTTCTCGGAGAGTGCAGGTGGCCCTGCATGAACGATCTCAGGCCTAGGTGCCAATATTTAATCAATGTCTGGGGTTTGGCCGGCCCTCCGCAATATGCGGAGTCCTTTCCCCCGGTTCCCCATGATTCGATGACAGCGGTAGCTGGCTTTCCCATTGCCGAATTTCTGTCCGAGATGGATTCGGTGGCTTGTCGTCTGGAGTCGAATGAGTTAGGGCGCAGTCGGCTGCACCTCGGGAATCGGATATTCCGAGCAGCAGTGCAGCGTCCCTGGATTGATGTAACCCTACAATAACGGGTTGCTTTTATTAAGAGCTGCAAGACGACCCGTCGAGACTAAAGCCTTCGCTTCCGTCTTACGCCGTCAAGAGATATCTATTTCTGTGCCGCTGTGTCGCTGGGGAAGACATTATGATCGCGGTTTATTGCATCACCTGCCGTTGACTCGAGTTCTCGGCACAATATAGTCCGACACGTGGAGGAGCCGATAAGATAGTTTCGCTTTCATCTGTGCAGTACGGTAGCTTGGCAGTCAACTAGAACAACTCCATGCCTGAAATTGTGGGCAAGGGCCCCGTTTCTCAAGAGTAGCCAGACTATCGATCGCACTGCATGAGCGCGATGTCCAAGACACCTACCCATGCTCCATCCGGAACTTCCTGTGTCCATCCGCCGAATTTTCCGCTTAGTCCTCTAGCATTGGGGTCGATCACCGTCAAAACAAGTAGCGATCATCCGGTGATCTCATTCCCGTTGTTCTTACACTATGGCTCTTGCCAAGCATTGAACACAGCAAACAGGAAGCCAAGCCGCTCAGCCGTCCGGAACAGGCATTGTCATTATCTTGACACCAGATCAAAGCTCACCCAAAGCAAAGTCATAAGCACTCAACCAATATACGAGCTAATCTCCACGATAAATTGTAACGGTGGACAGTACGAGGTAATTCAAAGAAAAGCGGTTGCCTACGGGCTCCGGAGGCCATCCGGCATATTCTCCGTCTTGGCACTTGACCGTTCTTTTCTTTGCAGAAACTCGGGAATTCCGAGCGGCGCTAACGCAGGCTTGCAGCACGCCGTTTATTCCTATTCGGGCAAGGATCTGATCATCCGCGGCCCGGTGTTTCCAGTGGTAGGGGTGGTTTCTATAGTCTATTTACTTCATACTGCATAGTGAAACGTGCATGCTGTCATCCAGGCTCCATGTTTGACTCCATTCCTTGGCAGTCGTTCCTGGTGCAGCAGGTACCTCCCGGCGGGTTGTGAGTACAGATTCGCAATGCTGATCTGTGCTGGCTATCTCGGTTTCTCGATGTGCTCCACTGCCTGCGATCGTTGAAGCCATGTATAAATACCTGCCTTGATGCCGATCGATTGGGGCGTGTAGATTGCCATCATCTCTTCCACTCTCCACTCATTTTCCCAAGAATCTAGCCCACCATGCGGTTGCACGCCGGAGCCCTCCTGCTCTCCAGCCTGAGCCAGGCGCTGGCCCTCCCATCCAGCCACAGCACCAGCACCCGCGACACCTCGTCCCTGGTTGTCGAAGACGCCCCTGATCACGTCCGCCCCTACGTGATCCGGCACTATTCCCACGCGCGGGCCGTGACCGTGGACACGCAGCTGTATCGGTTCTACGTTACCGGCCCTTCCTCGGGGTACGCCTTCACCCTCATGGGCACCAACGCACCGCACAGCGACGCGCTAGGCGTGCTCCCACACATCCACCAGAAGCACTATGAGAACTTCTACTGCAACAAGGGCAGCTTCCAGCTGTGGGCGCAGAGCGGCAACGAGACGCAGCAGACGCGGGTTTTATCGTCTGGGGACTACGGCAGCGTGCCCCGCAACGTGACGCATACGTTCCAGATCCAGGACCCGGACACCGAGATGACGGGAGTGATCGTCCCTGGAGGGTTTGAGTGAGTCCAACCCTAACCTCCCGTTTCCCCCTTCACCCATACAACAACCTAACCCAAAGAAAGGGACCTCTTCTACTACCTCGGCACCAACGCCACCGACACAACCCACACCCCCTACATCCCCTCCTCGAGCGACAGCTCCTCGACCACCGGCCCCGACTCCTCCACCATCTCAACCCTGCAATCCTTCGACGTCTACGCCGAGCTCTCCTTCACCCCGCGCACCGACACCGTCAACGGCACCGCCCCGGCCAACACAGTCTGGCACACCGGTGCCAACGCCCTCGCCTCCACCGCCGGCGACCCCTACTTCATCGCCAACGGCTGGGGCCCCAAGTACCTCAACTCGCAGTACGGGTACCAGATCGTCGCGCCCTTCGTCACGGCCACCCAGGCCCAGGACACGAACTACACGCTGTCCACCATCTCCATGAGTACCACCCCCAGCACGGTGACGGTGCCCACGTGGTCGTTCCCCGGGGCGTGTGCGTTCCAGGTCCAGGAGGGCCGGGTCGTGGTACAGATCGGGGACTATGCTGCTACGGAATTGGGCAGCGGCGATGTCGCGTTTATCCCTGGCGGTGTCGAGTTCAAGTACTACAGTGAGGCGTATTTTAGCAAGGTGTTGTTTGTGAGTTCGGGGAGTGACGGGTTGGATCAGAACTTGGTGGACGGCGGGGAGGAGTGGAGCTCGGTCAGTTTTCCGGCGGATTGGTAGGGTTTGGGTTTAGGGTAGGGGGTGATTGACTACGATGGGATGGTGGTCAGTTATAGATATTTTTTCTTCTTGGAATTTATATAATTTTCTTCTTCTTAGAAAGGGGTTACCGTTGAGATATGAGTTTGGGCCTTGGTGGGGGTTTACATAGACCTCTTGGGGACACAGCAACTTTGGGAAGAATATATCTTGGACCAGCATGATCACTTCGAAAATCTTCGGAAACATGGGTTTGTCACATACCCCCAGGCCATCGAAAGAACTGTTGTTTTGATAAACATTGAGTTTGCGCTTATGACTTGTCAGGCAAGAAAGAATCATAATGTCGATAAGAGCATTCACCACGGGACAACACATGGCCAACAGGCACCATACTGATCTGTTGCTAAGAGTCTGAAGCAAAAATGTGACAGTAACATCAAGAAACATCCTCGATGGTCTAACGGTCATGATTTCCGCTTGTCAATCCCTACCGGGAACAAGCGCGGGAGACCTGGGTTCGACTCCCAGTCGGGGAGATGTCTTTTTGTGGGTCACCACATAGGATGTGCCACAGCATCGACACAAATATCCATTGTTTTTGTTCTCCATAGTAGCCCAGCATTTTGAGTAGATCTCGAGCCATTGCTTCTGCACTCGAACCCGTGTTAGATGCTGAACCCGTACAAATCACCTGCTTCTCAGTTTATGCTCCGGCTCATCGCCGATCTCCTCCATCTTCGCCTCCAAAAGCCGAGTCATCCTCCCCACCACCTCCCGATACTCCGGTTCATGATAGATGTTGAACAGCTCCAACGGGTCCTCCAGACAGTCAAACAACTCCCACTCCTTGTAGTCCTCCCCACCCGGCCTGGCCCCCTCCACATCCAACGGCTCATTATACCAGTAGATCAACTTATACCGCTGATCGCGGACCCCATAATGCGCATACGCCTCATGGATCACATCATTATGCATCCAGTACCGATGATAGGCAACCTGCTGCCACTCCGCCGGCGTGTTGCCCCGCAGCACCTCCCGAAAACTCCGCCCCTGCATATAACTCGGCTGCTTCACCCGCGCGAAGTCGAGAAACGTGGGCGCGAAGTCGACATTACAGACGATATCCTCGCCGACGGACCCCGGGGCGATCTCGCGCGGGTACCGGACCAGAAACGGCATCTGGAAGCTCTCCTCGTACATGAAGCGCTTGTCGAACCAGCCGTGCTCCCCCAGGAAGAAGCCCTGGTCGGAGGTGTACACCACGAGGGTGTTCTCGGCCAGCCCGGGCTCGGCGTCCAGCGCGTCCAGCAGCCGGCCCACGTTCTCGTCCACGCTGTGGATCGTGCGCAGGTACCGCTGCATGTACCGCTGGTACTTGAAGTCGGCCAGCTCCGCCGCATCCTGAAAGGTGAAGACCGTGCCGTCGTCGACGTCCACCAGCCGGAGGCGGCGCACGTCGTCGTCAGACTCCGGGGCGGGCACCTTGCGCCGGCCGTCGAACATGCGTTCCCCAACATCCCGGGCGCCGCCGTCGGGCTGCGCCAGCCCCAGATCGAAGTAGGTCATGTCCTCGGCGACGCGCATCTTGGCGGTCTGGGCGGCGCGCGCGCGGTGCTTGTACGCGTCCGAGTAGGTCGCCGGCACGCGGATGCGGTGGCGGTAGAGGTGCTTGTGGCGCGGGTCGCACTCCCAGCTGCGGTGCGGGGCCTTGTGGTGGCACATGAGGAAGAACGGGCGCGCGCGGTCGCGGTCGCGGATGAAGGCGATGCTCTTGTCCGTGATCAGGTCCGTCGCGTAGCCTTCCTCCGTGACTCCCGTGGCCGGCGTGTCGGGTCCGATGAACGTCGGGTCGAAGTACTCGCCCTGGCCCCGCAGGATGGACCAGTAGTCGAACCCCGTGGGCTCGTGCGGTTTCCCTTCGCCCAGGTGCCATTTCCCCACCATCGCCGTCTGGTATCCGCCGCTGCTGCGCAGGTGCTTGGCCACGTGGGGCAGGTGCTTGTTGATCTTCGACGCCAGCGTCAGCACCCCGTTGACGTGGTTGTATGTCCCCGTCAGGATCGCCGCGCGCGACGGCGTGCAGATGCTGTTCGTCACGTAGCAGTGGTTGAGGCGCATGCCTTCGTGCGCGATGCGGTCCAGGTGCGGCGTGTGGTTGATGTTGGCCCCGTAGCAGGAGATGGCCTTCGCGGCGTGGTCGTCGGCCATGATGAAGACGATGTTCGGGGGCGGTGGGGGTTTTTCTCGGATGGTCATTATGGTGGGTTTCGAGGTGTTTACTGCCACAGATGAGAAGGGTAGGTGGGAGTTGCTGGAGGAAGTGCTGTTTAGTTGGGTTGGTTGCCCGGATGAGCTGGGTTATTTGAGAGAAGGGTTCGGGACGGCTCCGATGTCGGGTCGCAGCAGCCGGTGCTTTGCGCAGAGAAAATGTCTTATCTGCGCTTGAGACGCTGTATGGCGTGGTACACCTTTTGGGAATAAGGTGGGATGAAACGTGGGCTGGAACCAACAATATGCGAGCAAGGGATCTGGGGTAATCCGGCTCCACTATGGCGTTATGACGGCAGATCTCTCAGCCGACACGGAAACCATATCTGTCAATACAGTTGTCTATCAGTTCCAGGCAGGCAACTGAGCAAGAAATCAGCTCTAAGAGAACTGATGCACAATCTCGATATGAATAGTAGAGAAGAGAGTCTTTCTGCCATATGGCCTTTATTGCGGAAGTGGTTGTGACAAATGGATATGTGCAAAAAAATCATAAGCAGCACAGAATTATGGTTATATCTAGAAACTACCTCGTACCTCAAGATGCACACATGAATCCAACGAATGGAAGAGAATAACCCGAAGCAGCACTGTCGTCTGTACGGGCACATCCAGAACTTCCCATCCGAGATTGTATGCTAACGCCTATGTCTCGCATCAAGGAAGACAGGTAATCATCTCGACGAAAGAGTTGGGGACGCTGAAACATAGCGTACAGGAAACTATAATTCAGTCGTAAGAAGCCTAAATTATTGAGTTCTTCACTATGCCATTAAACTCTAGAAATGGAGATATCAATCACCTAATCAAACAAACCATTTCCGTGGCTGTATACTAGGTCTAGATTGACCAACAAATTATCGTACTGTACACACAAAAGATATTTCTCTAGTATCTCCTCCACAATCCTAAGAGTCCAGCACAGCTCTACTGTACTGCACCTTGCAGCTGCACTGCACTGTTCAAACACAGAGACTTCCGCATACGTATTCACATCTGCAACACCCCACAAGCCCTACCGTATCTACCTCAACACACCCCTCCAGTACAGAGTCCACCCCCCTAAATCGACTCCGGCGGCTTCGTAACATGCGTCAACTTATCCCTACCCAGAAGATTAGCCAAGCCCAGACAACCATCCCCCACCCCCAGACCACACCTCCCCAAAGAAGGGACAACAAACCCATTCAACTTCTTGACCCACGCCCCAAATCCCTCATGATCATAGTCCTTCTCATTCCACATATCCTTATGATACACCACCTGCTCGGCCCCGGCATCACCGGACGGCTCCAGCCGCAAACTCACCAGGCTATCCACCACCTTGGACGCATGCAGCCCCGCCACCGTATACCGCTGGCGCTGCTTCCACACCAGCTCGTCGGCCGGCGACGGCACCACCTCGGTGGCCAGCGTCTCCGACCGCGCGAACAGCTTGGGGATCCCGTACCACTGGCCCGCAATCTTATAGCGCGTGTCGCAGTAGCTGAGGGGGTCGTCGTAGACGGCTTGCTCGGCGTAGACCTGCATGTCGGATTCGGAGGCGCTGCCGCCGTATAAATTCAGGATGTGGTGCTGGATGGCTTGGCGGGCCGGGGAGAGCGGGAGGGAGGCGTCCGGGTTCGGGGCGTAGGAGAGTTGGTGCGTGCGAGGGTCCTGGGGCGGGGTCGGGTGGGGTTCGACGGTGCGTTGCGCCGGGTGGGGGGCTGTGGTTGATGGCATTTTGGCGGGATCGGTGTTCTCTGGACGAAATCGAAAAGGAAAAGAATTGGTTGAGATAGAGGTAGAGGTAGATCTAGGGTTAGATCTAGGGTTGATTAAGTGTCGGAGGAACTTGGGATGAGGGGTTCCGTATATTTGCGGTGGTTATGTATGGTATTTATGCTTTCCCAGGAGGGGGTGATGTCATGGTTGGATCAAGGGGTCGATTTGGTTCATGAAGTCATTTGAGGGCGGGAGTCGGTCCGCCACTTTGCTTCTGTGGCTTGTGTCTTGGATGAGAGCGGGATATCATATTCTTACAACTCCTGGTGTCGAGTTACAGTTTGCATGTTGTGTAGTCTAGCTAGAATGGACAGGGTAGTGAGTCTTGATGCGAGATAGGGCTTGGAGTTAGGGCAAAAGTCCAAGACAGGCCGCCGAGGGAAGTTCAATACTGTACTGTACAATACCATCTCATATGGCCAGGCCTCCATTCCACCCCCCTTGACTCAGCAGCCACCCCCCATTCTGCAGCACCTGGAACACCGCCTCAGGATCATACTTGCGCGCAACCTCTCCCAGTCGCCGCACATTCTCCACGCCATAGCTCGCCAGCGGATCCTGATCGTGCGCCGCATAGTTGGAGTACTTGTACGGAAGATACACCCCGTGTTCCTTGGCCGATGCTTCTGCGATGTCCACGATCGAGCGGATTGCCTGTCGGACTCGGTCTTCATCTTGAGCATGCTTCCAGTCCGCTCGCGCGAGGAACCCTATCACCATGTTAGTCATGTGCGAAGGCGCACTAAAACATGGGCGGCGAGAAAAGGACGTACATGACTGGCCCACCGGCTCTAAGCCCAGCGGACTGTTGGCGGAGACCTGCATCGCCAGGGAAGACATTGGCTGGAAGACGGTGGTCAGAGTCAGCCCCTCGACATCCTTCAGTTCTTCCACATGCTCTGCGTGGGCTTTCTCGATCGCGCGATAGACCTCCAGGCACGGTCGGCTGGACATGGTGCGGAATTCGTGGCTGCGGGGTCTCCGTCAGTATACCCTATCAGCGTACGGAGAAGGATTGCGCTTACAGGGTTGGCTCGGCCTCGTTGACTGATGCGACAGCCTGCACGAGATCGTACACAGACCGCACCCCGGCGGGGACGAAGGTGGCGACGGAGGGGATGTTGTAAAAAGGCTCGAAGACCGCGGGCCGTTCGATCGGGGCGCAGTAGACGTAGACGATGAGAATGAACTGGTCGGTCGCGTTCCAGATCAGGGTCGCCTTGTTGTCTGTCTCGATGGATTGGTGGTATTGCATGAGTGCGTCCAGCAGTTGCTCGCTGGCGGTGGGCGGGTAGATCTGGACCTCCGCCCAGATCTGGTTGGGGATGGTTACCATGTCCATCCGGGTGACGATTCCTGGGACTCAGTCAGACGAGTTGATTCTGGTCCGGAACACTGGAGACTCAGACCATAATTAGGACCTCCTCCTTTCAATGCCCAGAAGAGGTCGCTGTTTTCTTGCGCGTTGGCATTGACGATCCGGGAGTCGGCGAGAACGACCTGCGACCGGTAGGGTTAGGGTTGGGGTTGGAATCCGAGAAACATCAGATCCAGGTCATACCTCGTAGTTGCACACGTTCATCGCGCCCATACCATACTGACTGTTCTGGAATGATATCCCTCCTCCTAGCAACAAACCCGACACTCCGACATCCGGGACGCGGCCGCCGGCCACGACCAGACCGTGCGCTTCGAGTCCCCGGTAGACATCCAGCCACCGCAAGCCCACGCCGATCTTGGCAATGCTCTTGTCGTCCGAGAGCTCGATCTGGTTGAAATTACTCAACGAAATGACCACGCCGCCCTCGTTGCTGGTGAACCCAGGGATCTGCAGCCGGCCCCCACCGCGGATGGAGAACTTCACGTGGAAGAATCGGCACAGAGCCAGCGCAGTCGCAACCTGTGGCGCCGATGACGGAGAGACGATCACTTGCGGCTGGAGCCAGCAATTGGTGGACCTGCGCTGATCGATGAGTGCCCGACCAGGGGATTGGTGGTTGATTGTCTGGTGCGGTGCACATACCAAGGCATTTGACGCTGGGACTCGTACCCACTGGCCCCTGGAGCCACGCTGTGGCTGGGGAAGCACAGAGCAAACGCTTGGGATACATGGGACCCTCTTTGCTGGTCTTTCTCGGCGTCCGGAAGGGCAGTGTACGTCGAGAGAACAGCCTCAAGCTGGCTGTGGCGCTCGGCATCTAGCTGAGCAGCAGAGAGGACGGCAGCTGCGGTCGGAGTCATTGTGGCGGCGGCGGGAGAAACTCCGAGAGGGGTGTTTAATTCTGCAGGCAAAACGTGGGAACAGGGGAACGGAGCGAGTTTTAATCAAATTCAGAGTGTCTCGCCATTCATGCCGAGGCGCCGTTTCCCATAGCCCCCTTGGCAAGTGGGGATTGTCGCGGCACGAAGTCGACGCTATCCCAGCCGGACCGTCGACGGACCGCAACTAAAACCCAATACCGGCTCGATATGGACGGGAACTTAAATGATCTGGGGGTTTGGGTCTCACCATTGACCCAGTATGACCCACTGCTGCGATTCCGCAAGCGATCCTTCAGGGCCTTTGGCAGGCTTGCACAAACTCCCTGCCCGCCCGTTCTCCCCACGGTTCCCGCTCTGTCTTCTTCGTCTGTTTCTTCTCAACCGCGCGTCGATGTGACTGACCCTCTGGACTCACAATTGCTGGTGAGCATGGAGAGCCCTCTGCGTCCACGCAGTGATGGCAGCGGCACGTCGCATATGACTATTGCAGTGCGGGTTGTCGTGCTGACTCTGGCGATTCCTACCACTTTGGTCTGTGTCTTGCGGGTATGCTCCCCCCCCCCCCGTCCCCAGTTGACCCATCGCAGACCCAACCGACTAAGTGGTGACAGTTGTACCTGCGCAAGTTTGTGACCAAGCAATTTGGTCTGGACGACTGGCTCGTGCTTCTCGCGCTGGTAAGTGATGTCCAAGTTTGTCCGTGGCAACTTCCAACAATTGACTGTCGGTCTCGACAAGATCGGGGTAGATTTGTTTTCAGCACTGGCATACACGATCACATACTACGGGCTGGGCGAGCCACTGCAAAATGTCTCCGCCGACCAGCTCGTGGTCTTTCTCACCGTCAGTTGCCCTCGAATCGAATTGCGATCGTTACTAAACCCCATCAGCTGGAATATGCCTCGCAGTGCGCCTACCTCGTCATCGCCGCCACCGTGAAAGCCAGTCTCCTCCTCTTCATCATGCGCCTGTTCCCCACCCGATTCGTCCACCTTGTCGGTCGCTGTCTGCTGGGTTTCATCGCCGCCTTCACCCTCTCCGGCACCCTGGCGCTGGTCTTCCAGTGCCGGCCCGTGCAGGCGGCGTACGATAAAACCCTCACCCACGCCACCTGCTACGCCCCGGAAACCTCCTACGCGATCCTCATGATGCAGGGTGTCATCATGTTCGTGCTGGATGTGATAATCCTGGTTCTGCCCATGAGACCTATCTGGCAGCTGCAGATGCCCATGAAAAAGCGGCTGTTGGTGCTGGGGCTGTTGTGCATTGGTGCGTCTTAAACCTTTCCGGATCTATACCCTCAGACTGGACTAAATGATGAGCGTAGGGTTCACCGCATGTGTCGCGGCACTCGTGCGTTTCTCCACCCTCAAATTCGCCAACGACACGACAAACTTCACCTGTAAGTGTCACGCCCCTCCCTTTCTTGACGAAGACAGCTGACGTGTCAGACTCGGCATCCATGTCCCTGATCTGGATGGAAATCGAGTTCAACCTCGGCCTTATGTCGGGTTCGTTGTCCTCCTTGCGCAAGCTGTGGGGGCTCCGCTCCCTGATCTCGAAGAGCCAGGACAGCCGGCACGGCGACTCGAGGCAATCTGCGGCTTTTGACCTGGTTCCGCGGAGCTGGGGCCACCGCGGGATCACGAAAAAGACGGAGATTCTGAGGGTGGTGGAGTCGCATGGGAGTCAGGAGCCGATCGCTGCGACATAGATCGTGTGGAGCATGAGATGCACTCGGTAGAGGAACTTTGCGATCTGGAATGAGGAGTTGGTGGTTGTTAGAAGCCCTGTTGGTATGTTCGGTCTTTATGCGAGGATCCAGATGTAGTATATGATACCCAACTCATGAATCTGTTCTTCCGTATGCTGTGTTATTTCTTGAAAGAACTCACGAGCACTAAGTAGAGAATAACTCCAACTATGGCTGAGCTTCATGGCTACGCAAACAGCTTATGTCATGGGGACTCGTTATCAATATTTACTCAGTGACATACCTTGGTGAAGAAACTAGATGGAATTTCAATTTCCTCATCACAGCTCATGATTGCCCTTGGCGGAACCAAAGCTTGAAAAATCATCGCTTCTCGCATAAGTGTCCCAAGAGCTTATATATCAGAGCTCGGGTAGCGGACACTTGCGCTCAAGAATACTACAAGAACATGTTCTGGAGATCTTCAGTCTGGTCAAGGCGTAGTGGGCTTGCCACCTACCGAGGGAAAACAACCGAACATGCAACAATGGCGCGGCTGAAGCCGCCAGCTTCCCGGGAGTCAGTAGGCTGCGGGAGTGTTCGCAGGGGCGAGAAAAGCCCCCTGCTGGACACGTAGCGACGAGCAAAAGCATGGCAAGGTTCTCCGAAAACAGACCAATGAGTTGGCGAAGCGTGACCGCGAGATCAATGCCTTGCTCTCCCACGTCGACTTTCTGATCTCGCTGGTGAATAAAGAAAAGACCCTCAGCCAGGCGAGGGATGTTACTCGCTTCACCTACGCCACCGTCTTCTTTCTCCCGGTGGGGCTTGCGGTCAGTATCTTCAGTATGAGCGGGCCGCCGGACCATACCGCGATTGTCGGCATAGAATCCCTGCAATCGTCGCCTTGGTGGTCACGGTGGCTTTCTTATGGCTTGTCATCAGAGTTCCAACACGGTTATATCCTCGCGACGGGGGCACTGACTGGCTAGTGGGAGTCTTCCGGGCGGGGAAATCGGAGGAGTTGATCCACGCGTCCTCTGTGCAGGAAATCGTCAAGCCAATCACTGCCAATCCGGAGAAAGTCGACGAAGCCGACACAAATGAAGAATCTATCTCTCCGGCTGGGCACCGGTCCATCACTCGTTATATATCTCATAAGATCGGGGCATTGTCTGCCCTGAGACACCGACACGCCGCAAGGGAGAACGAGGGTGACGACCGAGCCTGAAACTTGTCAGTAGATCCCACGAGTGGAAAAGCCAGTCCGGAAGCCATCGGAAGAGAGTTCGGCAGGCTGCTCTTGTATGAAGTTCAGATCTTGATAGACTAAGATGACAGTACATTCGCAAGCACGAAACATAGAGCACTCATATTAGTGTCCAGCATGAAGTACGAAGAGATATGTCTTTCCAGAACATGCATGCTTATGCATGAGCCGAGAAAGAGAGATCCGATGGGAAACCCGCGTGGATGCAAAGACAAACAAGGGCAAATCTGACTACCCGAGGCAGTCAAACAAAATGACTAAAAATATATGACAAGAGTGGGATTCGAACCCACGCCATCAAACGATGATCAGGAAGCTGTGAAGCTGAATGTTAAGGTAACCTTAACCTGACGCCTTAGACCAACTCGGCCATCTTGCCTGTTGTTGAAGATGTCATTAAACATGTGCTCTATCATCAACAATCAAATTGCTGCTCCACAGAGCGTCTACATCTGGATGATTTCACATTCACGGCCCATCATTGAACCAGCAGCCACTTTCCTTGCGCTAAAGATCTCTATACTTACAAATCCAGTGGTGATAAATAGTAGACGTGTCGATATTGTGTATGGAGAGTAGTTATTATATTGAGTTCCATTATACCTACCCTAGAGTAAGTCCCCTGTCTACAATAATTGCACAGAACTGAAGTAAGATGCATAAGACAGAATTCCAGTCACATTACATAGGCTTTCTCAAGATACAATAATACCAAGCCCGCCACTTTTCCTCCCCCGACTACGAGGCTGCATCTCTATGTGCAAAGACAACCCGAATGAACGGACACGATCCCTCTATGATCAATGCTCAGGGTGAACAGTCCACCATGACCCAATATCACCTCTTCAAGTCTTCTGCTTCCACAGGCCGCGGATAGACCCAGGCAAGAACCACTCCAAATACTTCCAAACCTTTCCTGGGGTATCAGCAGCAGCAGTCATCCCCAGCCCTCCGACGGAAGCGAGATAGTCGCTCGCGTATATTACCTCATAGTCATTAGAGAAGCCGTTGAACTGTGTCGCGCTCACCACACTGTACGCTACACCCGAAAACTGCATTAGCAAACCCCGCAGAAAGAATCAACCGGATGAGAAATATAGACAAAACTCACCACCCATCTCCCGAAAAACCAACCAATCTCCCACCTTGACCTCGCCCTCCATCACCACTTCCTTCGCCACACAGTCGATCCCATCGCACGTCGGCCCCCAGATCGAATACGGATGCGGCCCCGTCGCGCGCTGCTTCATTTGCCCGTTATCATCATCCCTCAAGGGAGCCAGGTCCGGGACAAAGACTTCATTTTCCAACAGGACCAACATGAAGCTCCCATACACCCCGTCATTCAGATATAGCATGTCGGGGGTGATGGACGGGTACGCCTGAAACTCGTCGAGCAGCGGCTGCAGCTGCCGCCGCCGCGAGATCACCTTGCAGGCCATGGTGTAGAGGGTGCGGGCGAAGTAACGGCCTGGTTCGGCGATGACGCGCACAGCGGACGAGTCGGGGAAGGCTCCGTCGATGGCACGCGCGAGGGGGCCGGCCATCTCTTCGAAGTTGGTGTCCTGGAAGCCGCCGCCTACATCGAGGATGTCCATGGGTGGTAGGCCTAGGTGGGTTGCGAGGTCGAAGACGTGGCGGGCTTGGTGGACGGCTGTTGTGAATGCTGCCGGGTTACGGGCGCCGGACCCTGTGGGTGTAAAAGGGCTTGTTAGTGGGGTTAACGCGGGGTATAACACAGGGTAGGTGGATGGGTGGTGCGCGTGACTGCGTGCCTGTGCACTCTGTGTGCTGCGCACTTGTATGCGCTCATGTGTTTATCTGTGTGCACGCGTGTGGAGGACTTTTTCGGAACTCGCCCTTCACAGACAGAAAGAAATGACTTAAGAGGGAAAAAATATATGACATACCCACGTGAAAACTCACCCCCCTTACACAAAGACCCAACTCCTTTGCCCGTTGCAGCAGCGGCTCAGCTGATGCCAGCGGCGCGCCGAACTTGTTGCCCAGCTGCGCGGCGGCGGTGTCGTCCTGCGCGTAGATCCGGAGCAGCAGGTGCATATTCGGCGCGTGGGCCTTCATCTTGTCGAGCTCGTCGATATTGTCGAATGTGGTGAGGGAGATGCCCCGGGCAGCGGCCACGCGGATGGCGGAGATGGACTTGCATGGATGCGCGAAGATAATGCGGGAAGGGTCCACGCCTAGAGACAAGACCAGCTCAATCTCCGTCTGGGAGGCACAGTCGAATCCCAGGCCCAGGTCGGCGAGAAACCGCAGGAAGCGCACGTCCGAGTTGCATTTCACGGCTGGCGGGTCATAAAACGCTTGGTCAGCCTATTCTGTTGCTGCGGTGGCAGGGCTACGTGGGTGCGTGAAGGGGTTTTGCTCATGAAGCAGGGGACGACACTGACCGTAGAATGGGGCTATATTGGGTAGAGCGCGTCGCCAACGGTTGTAAAGCTTCAAGGCTGGGCCTGTGTCGGCGATGAAGAATGGGCGATCACTCTGTGTGCTATGGGGGTCTTTGTTGACTTCTGTGATGCGGTTGGCGATGAGGTGGTCGATGAGTTTCCCCGCGGAGGGGAGTTCGAGGAGGACCATCGTAGATGATATTGGAGATGTGCAATGGGTGTGTGCAATGGTTGATGGAGAGATCACAAAGATGGGTCCAGGGCTCTGTTTTATAATAGCTTGGGCAGGTGGATTGCCAACAGCGACATTCTATCTTTTTGCTCAGGCTCACTCAATCTCATGCTCGGTGGTTGCCTACGCGTAGAGCCTGACCAGGCACCATGCTTGTTTCATAGTCGCCCAAGGTAACAGCTTGCATATGATTCATGTGTGGACTAGTCTAAATGGTCCAGTGTTATGGGAGATGTCTCATCGATAGTGTTGGACGTAGGGCTGTCTTGAACTCAGCTTTCTGACACGAAATTTGCTTGGCATTATGGCCATATCAAACACTCCCTATCTCTCTTGTTTCAATATCTTGGGGGTTGGTTTCAGTTTCTGCTGTTATGCTGGCACTGGACTGTTCGTTGTCCGTGTTTGAGATGTCTGGCTCCTGATATTCGGCCAGGGAGGATACGCTTCCAAGACAAAATACCACAGTCACGTATTCGAACCTGCAGTAGTGACTCAGTACTGGAACCAGACAGCTTGCTATCATACTACAAGATCTACGGTTTGTCAGCCAACATCAGTTCGCGACGACAGGATTCTGCATGCTGGCGGCATTTGCGGAAGTTGCGACACCAGCTCTGGGCGGCCACGTCCTTGACACGCTTTAGGCACGATGCGAGGGGAGGCCATGATCAAGGATGGGGGACAGATCTGGCACATCATCTAGCAGTGTTGAGGTATGAGCAGGTTGGTTTCTATCGCCCTGTTCACGATCTGGGCACTTTCTTGTATCAGTATGGCTCATCCTGCATGCATGATCTGTTCTGCTACGCCACATTTTCCACCGTAAGCGGAGACATCTAGCAGGAGAACATCTGCCACGAGTGGACTGGTCACGTTGTCGCCATCGACGCGCATTATGGGCTGCTGGTCATAGATTAACGTAGCGTTGAGCAGCATCGGGGCTGACGTCGGGTAGAAGCTGCATCTCGGGTTGTCAAGTGATGGTGCCCATTACTCGGGCCGCATTCCTTGGAAGTTTGCAGTAGGACTTTGGCACTTCTGGTTCTTTTCTGTTGGGTGGTGGATCTTAGAACAGTATTTGTAGAGGGCGGTCATTTTATTGTCAGTTGTAGAACAGCGGTAGTGAATTGGTGACCCCAGGCCTAGTCTGCGACCGCATTAGTATATATTCCTCCGGGCAGAAGTGCAATATCTGTACAAAGTAGAGCTGACCGCGTGCGCAGTCAGTTACCCAAGTAGATAAAAGCCCAAGAGTCTCAGACAGACTACTACTCACCTATTCCACTTTTCTATCACCTTATTCGTCGGAAGATCATTTATTACTTGCTACTTATAGGGCCTTGAGGAAGTCGATGAGCAAAATTGATGCACTTGTAGGTTGGGGTTAAGAATTTATAGCATTACTAGGTTGTGATCTTCAACAGGCAAGCCCGGCTAGCTCAATCGGCAGAGCGTGAGACTCTTAATCTCAAGGTTGCGGGTTCAACCCCCGCGTTGGGCTGTTCAATTTCTTTTTGTTTTCCACTCTCTATATAACATACACATTACACACTTTTAAATCTCTTTACGCTGTCTTTTACTTCTCCCAATCACAGCTATCGTATAAAATAACCCCTAACCACCTACTTCACCTATGGTAGCTGAAAACTTGATTATTCTCTCTGTTGATCGCATCACTACCTCAGTGCACTCCACCGGAACCCCCCCGCATTACAACCAAGAACCTCAGCGCAATGATAATATAACACATTACATCCCCAACCCCAATCCAACCATCCGACAACCCAATCAAACGCCAATCAAATTCTCCTTCCCAACCTTGTGCTCCTGCGATGGATCGAAATCCCCGAATGCCTCCACCGCTTCCCCGCGCAAATACTGCACGGGGGTTTGGAACCCTACGAACCCAATATTCGGACTCGACAGCCCATACCCCATCACCCGCTGCGCTGCCGGCGACCACGACAGCACCTCCTCTGGCACGTTCGCGAGGTAGACGTTTTCCTCCTGGCGCAGGAACCCGCGCGAGAAGAACATTCCATGCACGATGCGGCGTTCCGCGGCGGTGACATTCGCACCGCCCGCATGGTACAGCCCCCCCAGCATGACCCAGCAGTCCGTCACGTCCAGTTCGGCGGCGACCGCCTCGTCGAGCCGGGGCGCCCGATCGGACCCCCACAGATGGCTGCCGGGGATGGCGATCGTGGCGCCGTTCTCCACCGTGGTCCGCACCCCGGGGACCATAAACGCCATCATCACGTCGGAGCCCACCCGGTACCCTTCCGCGGATTGATCCGCGTGGTCGACGTGGTAGTTCTTGTCGTCGCGGTGCAGACGCTGGGCCTGGGCTCCGGGACCGATGTCGAAGGTCATCGCGATGGAGCAGACGGCCTCGCTGGTGTAGGTGTGCTTCGTCTCGCCGTAGAAGTTGGAGGTGGTCTTGTCGATGAAGGTGGCGGTTAGGGCTCGGACGAGCGGGTCGACCAGGAAGGTCTCGCGCACGGTCAGGCTGCGTCCGGCCAGGTTGGTGCATCGTCGGGTTTCGGGGGGGAAGAGGTCGCCCTGAGGTCTTGTTAGATTAGAGCTTTTTCTTTTTTTGGAGTTTTTTTGGGGGGTAGAAGGAGGGTTGGAGGGTGAGTTGACCGGGGGATTGTGATATTACCTTCCATGGTTTATCGGCCTCCAGATATGGCTGCACTTCCGCGTTCGCCGTGTGAACGGTCGCTGCGTCGGTGAAGTTCTTGATCACACAACAACCATCTTGGATGATTGCTTGAATGATAGCATTCACATTGGAGCGATCGATGCGTTGGACTTTGGGGATCTTGACAGCCATAGTGGGTTGGTGATGAGAGTTGTTAGGTTAGAGAGTAAAGCTGCTCTCATAGCCCTTGAATGGGTATATAAAACCATTTCTCGATCTCAATCAACTTCCTATCTCGAATGCGTTCAGTTGTTGTTGAATGCTTGTGGCATGTGGAGCCGTGGCGGGCTATCTTCCCCGCATCTGAACTTGGAATCCGTGGCCGCGATAAGAGGCGATCACAGCCATCAGCCCCGCCGCCGACCAATCGTCACGGGAAGGATTATCAGCGTGTTTGGATTGCTTGCCGTTCCTCTTCTCAACATCATCCTCCAAATGGCTGCAATACAGGGCTCATGTCACAACTGTCGGGCGCGAAAGGTGCGATGCGACCGAAACAGACCCCGGTGTCTCTCCTGTCAGATGCGGGGTGTTGATTGCCAGATACCGGCAGCTTCACCGCGGATACTCTGGCTGCGGCCGCGAAATGCTGCTCATGGCGAGGGTGACGTGGAGGAGTTGCATGCGCGGCGACGGCCTCATTTCACAGGTAAGCTGACCTGTTGGGTACCTGGCTAGATTATTATGGTGTGACAGAGTCTGAATTATGTAGAATACCAACTCAGTTGCAATGCTGCCGATCTGGTATGCATCTTGGGAGGCGTATCGATAGCTGCGGCCCTGGTTGAGCTAGACCAACAGGTTGCTAGCCTCCAAGGTAATGAAGTCACGTCCATTGGACCTTTCCATGCATTTCGGTTCATGGACGACATCTCCTCGCCTCAACCTGAGGCGCAGTCGGACACCAGTGCCTTTGCAGGCCTGAACCCGGCAACATCAGAGGCAATGTATGGACTACCAGACGATCTAGTCTCAACTCCCCAAATTCTAGCACAGATCAATACCCTCGTCTATACCCACTCAGCTTCGGACTCATCCCCATTCACATTCCCCTTGAATATACCACTTGCGCGAAGAACACCAGAAGACCTGGTCGACTTCACGGCCCCCAGCGCAAAACTCCTCCTGGATCACTACCGCCACACTATTATCAATTATCTGGCCCCAGCACGTGTGAAGTCCAAATCCCCTTGGAAGAAAGTCTACATTCCTAGCGTGCTCAGCGCTATCGGTGAGATCCTCCTCCAGGGGGACAGTAGCAACGCGAGAGTGTCCCTTCTCTTCTCGGTCCTTGCGATTAGTGCCTTTAGTCTAGACGGAAAGATGCTACTAGAAGATGAGTACGGCTACCATGCAAGCGCCCACCTCCTGGGAAAAATGTATCGTGCAAGAGCTACTGCACGCTTGAAGCAATCACTAAGGGACCTGTCCGCGCGCGGTTCGAAGAAAGATAAGTATAAGGATATTCTCATGGCACTTCTGAGTATGGTGACTATATGTGTACGTTCTCAATACTGTGTGAAAAAGTTTGGACTTGTGCCCCTAACTGCTATCCAGATAGTCAGCGGCGACATGAACAACGCAGCGCACTATTTACGCGACATCGAGCAGATCATCCACCGGTACGGAACGCGCAAAGTCGCCCGATCGGCGAAAGTGCGCATGCTGCACAGCATCTACCTATACACGCGTGTATTGACGGAGCGGTCGTGCTTCGACAAACTAGACTTGAATGCTACAGCGCGTGACGCTGAGAAGCCCTTCAGCCCCATCGCGCCCTCACTGCAGGTTTCCACGCTGGACTACATGGTGGGGCCTACCTACGTACCTGCTGCAAATAATTGGATACGGGACCTGGAGGATCCTAATCTGGAGTTCCGGTCCCCTTTCGAGGACATCTACTCTTTACCGCAGTCGTTGTTTGAGCTCATCGCCGCGACAACCCGATTAGCATCCAGTTTGAGAAGATCGACCATGCGCGAGTCTTCAGAGCCAGTACACCACAGTGTGCTTCTCGCGAGTATCAGAAACCTGGAGACTCGAATCTGCAGCTGGGAGTACGGCACAGAAAATATCAATAGTGCGGCACCCAGGCCCCCGAGGGAGCGCTCCCCGTACCACCTCGTCCAGGCGGTCCATAAAGCCCTAATCATCCACTTCCGCCGGGCCATCCGGAACGCCAACGCAACCATCCTCCAACCGTATGTCCGCGACGTGATGCTGCATCTGCTAGCATACGACGACTGCAGGCACAGGATTAATGACGAATCGGCAGATACCTGCTGGCCCGCGTTCATGGCTGGCTGTGAAGCGCTGGACCCTCGACTCCAGGAAAAGTTCGCCCAGTGGCTGCATATCGCAGCACAGACGACTGGGATCCGTATGTACAGTGTAGCGCTTGAGGCAATGCGGCAGGTCTGGGATGCGCGGAGGCGTCCTGGAAGGCAGGATGCGGCTTGGTCCCAGGTGCTGTTTGATTCCAGTGATCTGAGGGTGTTGGTGCTGAGCTGAGAGCCTGAGGGAGCTTCTTGTATGACAAAAGTATCTTGATAAGCCCGTACTTTTTATTTGTTCTCATTGGTCATTTGCAATCAGCTTAGCGCGGAGGAACATCGACATCAAGGGACAGTTTGATCCACAGCGACATGACTGGCCCCTAGGACCGAGACAATCATCTCTCCGCATTTCCCCTCACGATAAGCCACCCCCCCCCCTTGATTCTTATCAAGTGCGGGGAAATCTGCAATTGGCAAGCGACACCGAAATCTAGACGCTGATAGCCCTTAGGCTTCTGCCGCGATACGGGATCCTTGCTTCGTCTAGATTGGCTGGATTTCGCTCATCATCCCTGGATTTGGTGGATAGTATATGAAGGGGTCAATGTCGGCATTCCGGGCTTCGGCTTCGGACGGCTGTCGGCGACACAAGCACCAAGATAGGGAAATATGGAGCACGACGCAAAACATGTTGGGGGTGACTATGTCGCTTCCAGTACGCTTGAGGAGAAACGCCTGGATTTGGACCCTGCTCTTTCTATCGGAGAAGGTCAGGTTGACAACGAAGGAGCCAGCCATGGCAACCTTCATCGCACGTTAAGTCCACGGATGATCCACGTACGCATAGTATCCCCATCCTGAGTTTTCTACAGATGAAGTGCTTCCTGCTGATTTTAAGAGCTGCATAGGTGATTTCCCTCGGCTCCAGCATCGGAAGCGGTCTCTTCATCGCGACGGGCAAAGCCCTGGCAGAGGGCGGTCCCGGCAACATGTTCCTGGGCTACCTCGTGGTCTGCCTCGGGGTCTGGGCAAATCTGCAGACGTTGACGGAGATGACGATCGCATTCCCGACCTCGGGGAATTATATTGACTATGCGGATCGGTGGGTGGACCCGGCGTTGGCATTTGGGGCCGGGTTCGCGGAGTGGCTGGGTGAGTTGCTGTCTTCGCTCTGACATAGGGTATAGATACGGGCTGATTGTGTCGTTTCGCATAGGATGGACGTCGGTGTTTGCATCCGAGGGGACGTTTTTGGTTATCCTGGTGAACTTCTGGGCGGGAGGTGTGGTGCCGGAGGCTGCTTTGCGTGAGTTTGTCCCACTCCTTGCCTTGTGGTTCTGCGTCTTCTTTGTTTGAATATTTCGCTTTTATTGGAGAGAAACGGGACTGATGGCCACATACACAGTCACCATCTTCCTGGTAATCTGTTTTGTGGTATTCCTCATGCCCACCAGCTTTTTCGGATGGCTTGAATACATCGGCTCCTTGGTCAAAGCCTTCCTCTTTGTCTTCATCACGATCATCTCGCTGGCCATCATCGGCGGCGCGGGTCCGACAGGATACGTACGAGACGGTAGCACCTGGACCGAGCTGCCTGCCTTCAAGAACAGCTTCGGAGTACTTGATCCCCCCAAACTATCCTTTTTCTTTTTTTCCTACTTATCCGTAATCTATATCCTATAGGGCTTCTCTAATGCCGCATTGCTCGCCATTTGGGCGGTTGGCGATCAAGTCTTCATCGGGGTCATGGCCGGCGAGGCCGAGTCCCCACGCTACTCCATGGCGCACGCGTCCAACCTCATCCCCTGGCGCGTCGCCGTGTTCTATCTGCTGTCTGTCGTGCTGGTCTCCCTGATCGTGCCATCCACCGACTCCCGGCTGCTGGGCGGCTCGAGCGTTGCCTCGTCCCCATTTGTCATCGCCGTCCAGGATGCCGGCATCCCGGGGGTCCCGGATCTAATCAATGCGTGCATGATCATCGGCATTCTGGCGATCGCGCTGGAGTGTATCTTCCTGCCGTCGCGAATCCTCCGCACCATGTCTCTCCAGGGACTGTTGCCCGCTTTTGTGGCGCAGGTGGATAAGAAGGGTCGACCGAGGTGGGCGCTGGCCATCACCGCGGTCGCGGGGGTGGCTCTGACGTACATGAGTCTGAGCGGTATGCCGTCCATGCTGTCTTTCAGCACATTCTAATCGCATGCTGACTCTGCCTATAGCCGGGGGCACGGAGGTGCTCAACTGGCTGATCGCAATCACCAGCGCGTCTTTCTTCATCAACTGGGCGATCATCGCCGTCACCTCATTTCGCTTCCGGGCGGCGATGCGAGCACAGCAGAGCCCACTGTTCGAGACTCCTTATGCGTGGCAGTCGCTCCTGTGGCCTCTCGCCCCCGTGACCAGTCTTGTGGTTTCGAGCGTTCTACTAGTCTGTCTTCTTTACACGAGTGTCAAGCCAGTGGTGAGTTGTCGCAGTTTTTTTCTTATCCTCGGAAGGGTGAAGCTTGTGGAGAGATGACCGCTGACACGGGCCTTAATGTCTATGTCACAATAGAGCGGAGGCAGCTTTACAGCGTACAGCTTCTTCTCAGCTACGATCGGACTGATTCTCATCGTGGTATCTACCATCGCCTACAAGATCCTCCGACGGACGCCCTGGAGGGACCCCGCGACGGCGGATCTGGTCACCGGCCGTCGGGAGCTAAGTACAGAGGAGTTGCGGATGTTGGATGCTTACTACGGACGACCGCTGTGGCGGAGAATGGGGACTTATCTGCGAGTTTGGTGAGGAGATAGGACCGCCGGGTTTGAGGAGTGACTTCATATGGGCGATGTTATAGGTGGTAGTATGCAGCTACCTCGGCGATATGAGCCAATCACCTTTCCGCTCTGACGCCGAGAGTGAACATCCTACCCTGTTTATGCATGCAATGAATAGGATTGAACAACAGCCAGTGCTCTTTCAGTGCCGATGATAGTGGATTAATTTTCTCTCTTGGGAGTAAGGATGCGTTATCATGCAGGCTTGATATCAGGTGTGATGTAGCCTGATGAGGGGGAGTTTTCCCCGCATTCCCATATCACCTCACATCATCAAAGTAATGTAAATACCCAGACTCTACCAAGAGATCTATTGAAAGAGTGTTAGAACAGCTCGACCAAGTCAACTGTTCATTCGAGACGAATACAGACGGCTTGTTCAGTGAACATGGCAACTACCAATCCGTTCCCAATGCTTCCCATCCACCTCATCACCGCCCACTGGCCATACCTCAGTGCAGGCCTGCTCCTACTAGTTACACTGCATCTCATTCAGAGACGAAGGCCAACCACGGCTCATAATGACATCAAGAAGAACCCCCAAGTATCTCAAATTGACCCCCTCGTCAACTTCGACTGGACCAAAACCGAACCCCTTGTCCTCCGACCCTTCAAACCCCGCTACCACATCACGATGGGTACACTCCCGTTCCCCAACTGCTCTCCCCTCCCCATCCAACCCAAGCAATCGTTAACCAGAGAACAGGAATCGAAAGCACCACCCTCTCAGAGATCGTCCAAATCGACAAACACTACCTCTCCCGCATCCAGCTCCGCACCGCCCTCATCCAGCACAAAAGACCCGCCGTGCTGGGCAGCACCCCGCGCGCCGTCCCCGCCGTCCGCGAGCTCTACACCTTTTTGGTGAATGACTACCTCCCGCAGCGGTACGGGGCGATCTTCCACCGCCACCCAACAGCGGGGGTAGTCAACACCATCACCGGAGAGATCATCCCCTGCACCCCACCCGCCGACCCCGAAGAAGCCCTGGCGATCCTCGGCCGCCAAGTCGAAGAGGACTTCTTGCTGCTTCTGCCCCCTCCCACCTCAGAGCCGGACACCGAAACAGAGGGCAAAGCAGAGGTGACGAAGCAAATGTCGCTCGAAGCGTTCATCGGCTGCTTTCCGAACGGCTTCAGCTGGGCGGATAAGTTCGCGAAGTCGCTGGCGGCGATCCACGTCCCCGTGCCGGATTACACGGCCAAGCTGAGGGGCAGTATGGATCGGTATCTGGGGCGGTTGGGGGTGGGGACCGTTGTCAAGCGGGCGAATGTAGGTTCTCCTCAACTCCGCCCCTCGTTTTATGGTTTGTTGTGGCGGTGGAAGAGGATGAGCTTTGCTAATACTTGAGTCGGAAGTGGACCGTGTCCGTGGACGGGGAGCTGCATGCCCCCGACAGTATGCATTTGTATGAAGGGGAGACGGTGGAGGAGGTGGAGGAGTTGGATCTGGCCAAGGTTTGTCTTTCTGCGCTTTGCCTCGGCGGCAGTTTTGAAGGGGGTGGACTGCCTCGAGTTCTGGGAAAAGCGTGGCTGATGGGGAATAATGCACAGGCCCGGTTACGATGTGAGCGACAGGTGCTCTTCCGATTGCCCAATTCTAACGCGGTGGTGTTTGTGGTCCGCACGTATATGTATCCCTTGCAGGAGATCAAGGAGGAAGGCAACGGGCCGCGGATGGTGGAGGCCATCGCCGGGCTGAAGGCGGGCAGCTCGCCCGGGTTCCACTTCTACAAGCGCGCGGCCGTCTGGCAGAGGGTGGTGAGTGAGTTTTTGGTTGGGGAGGGGGAAAGTGGTACAGAGTAGGATATTTACCAGGTTTCCAAGTGCTGTGTACTGGCCTACTGAGCTGCCTGTCAACTCTATTCCTCATGCGAGCATAGAAAGGTTCCACTGGGAAAAGAGATCCGTCAAATACTCCGTACCGCACCGTGAAATCTAAACATGGTCACGACTCTATCTACCCTAACACGATACCAAAACCTCAACCCATCACCTCCTTACCTCTCCAACCCCCCCACGAACTCCCCAATAACCCCCACCAACCCCTTGATCCAACTCAAATGCGGCGAATGATCCGTCCTCGCCCGATACACCACCACCTCACCCCTCCCCTCCCCGCGCAACCGCGCATTCAGCGCCTGCACCATCCCCTCCTGGTACGCCGCCGCCAGAGCCCGATCCTCTTCCAGCACGAGATACCCGCACGGCAGCGCGGCGTACGCATCGTTCGTCAACACCCCCGTCATGATCGGCGCGGCCGTGAGCGAGGCCGCCCACTTCTGCCCCTCCTCGCGCGGCAGCTGGCCGAACATGTACGTGGCGGCGTCGACGGTGCTGAGCAGACCTTTAGGGCCGTGTTTCTTTTCTTTTTGTTTCCAATTCTTAGCATTCTTTTCTCCAAATGAGGGTGATTGGGGAAAACACACATGGGCTTTACAAAAAGGCGGGACGACGAAACTCCCGTCCTCGGGCTGGAAGTAGCTTGTTACGGATTCGCCGATGGGGACGAGGAAGGCCCCGTAGTAGAAGATTCCGAGGATGCCGGCGGATGCCTTGGTGGATGGGGAGGCTTGTGGGTGGTCCTGGTATTTTGGGGTGGCGGCCTGCGTGGCGACCCACCCGCCAGAGGAGTGCGCGACGAGCAGGACTTGTTTGTTCTCTTGGAGGATGAGCCGGTCGAGGAGGGTCTGGATGACGGCGACGTCGGCTGCGTCGCTGGGGTAGCCGGTTGGCGGTGGGGGGCGGTCGAAGTCCGGATTGCTGGTGTTGCCGACGTTGAGTTGGGTGAGGTCGCTGGTTGGGCGTTGCGGGCAGTGGACCTCGTAGCCTTGGGAGGTGAGGTGGTTGAGGAAGGGGGTGTAGGGGGTGGGAGTGTGGTAGCTGCCGTGGCAGATTATGATGGTGGGTAGTGGGGTGCGTTTCATTCTGATGTAGTGGTGGCTTATGGGGCTGTGAGCGGCTGATTGAAAGGGATGAGTGGTGAACTTCTGGAGGTCAGAAGAGAGGGTTATATAGGTATTGGTGGTGCTGTAGATGCTGCTGCTGATTGTATTTACTGACTGGATATTTTGTGGAGTTGGGAGTGCTAGGGCGTGTCTAGGGTCCGGTGGATCCACGTTACATTCTACCACATTGGCCAGTTCGTCAGTGGTATAAATTTCGTACTAGTGCTTATTTTCAGCCACTGCATGTGGAGAGCCTGTTCAACCCCACGCCATAAATATACAAGACTGCTGTTTACCCTCGGCCTCGGACAAATCGTCTGTTATCTCGCGCTGACCATCGTTTCTTCCACATATAGTTGAAAGACATTGAATCACTACCTAATAGGTATTTCTGACATGTTGCCACAAAGAGCCGATACACCGGGTTGTGCCTGCCGGAGACGTGGGAGCGTTCCGGGGGGGTGCGCACTAGAGATGCTTGAGATAGGATTTTTGGTGAGGGAGACGGAAAAGGTGCTGGTGGTAGAGTCTGGAGGTTTCGAGACAGCGGTAAGAGGGATGTGTCCAGGTTTTGTTGGAAGTGGATAGGTAGGCAAGCTGGATTGATGATGCTGCAATCACGGGCAAGGGCTTAGGTCGAGATGAGATTGCCATAATGGGGGTAGGTAGAAAGAGTGAGCGGACTTGGGGCTCAGGACAACTACATCAGTATTCGTATTGCTAGATTTGCAGGCACAAGACTCCATGTCACACAGATGTAACATTTGTTCCAAAGTTGACAAAAAAGTCCTGAGGAGTCGATCACAGACACAGACAACAAGATATCACCTCTAAGATAGCATCCCCCACTTTCTTTCGAACTTATGCAAAGATCAAACTTTTCATTACGTAGACACTATCTGTTAGAAAATACGTAACGCCAACGAAGTGACGCAAAAAAAAAAAGCGAACATTGAGAAATCATAATAATAGATCATTATCAATTCAAAAAGCTAAATATAAATACTAGGCATTAAGCATATCTTAGAGTCCACAAGGAACCATACAAACGACGAACAATGACACTACTTCAAGAACCTTTAAAAGGCCCAGCAGCAGCAGCAGCATCACCCCCACAGCCAAGTAGCGCGGTTCAACATCCCGCATAACACAGACCCTCCTCCTCATCAAACATGCTCGCGACCGCCAGCGGCAGCGCCGGGAGCTCGTCGGGCTCGACCGCGAGTGGCTCCGAGACTTCCTCCTCGAAGTCGTCCGGCAGCATGTACTCCTGCGCGATGGTCTCGTAGATGCGGCCCGTGACGATCCCCATCAGCGTCAGCCGGCCGATCACCGCCAGGACGCGGACGACGCTGTTCCGCTTTATGAGAGCTGGGTTCAGCAGGACCTGTCGGATGTGGGCCACGAGAACGGTCAGCCGGCTTTCGGGCAGTCGGTCGACGAGCACCAGCTCCGCCTCGAGGTTGCGCTCCAGCCCCGTGCGGAAGAACCGCTTCGTGAAGCCCCGCCCGCCGGAGGGGCGGAGCAAGACGCCTGCCTCGCGCTGCTGCAGGCCCAGGGCCCAGTTGTCCCCGCGCCATTTGACGATGAACAGTGCGATGTCGCTGTTTGCCAACTCTTCTTCTTGTTGTTCGTCGTTGGGGCTGGCGATGTCGGCCGTGTTCTCGACGGGGCGGTCCTCCACTTCGATGGGTTGGTTTGCCATGGTTGCTCCAGTGGCTGGCGTGAGGTGGGGCTTGGGTTGTCGGTGTTGATGTGGGATGATGGAAATACTGGCATGACTGTTATATAAAGGTATCCAATTGTCTTGTAGTGGATTATGAGAGGCATTCCGAACGCAGGGTAATCTACGTTCGTTGATAATGCCATGTGCAGCTTTTGGTAGAAGGTGTAACAGTCAAGGATCGTTGAAACAAAGCAGATCGAAGGCTCTATGAACATGAGATTAGGCTCGCTTGGAAGTACAGTTTGATAAATAATGCACTAGGCTTACGGCAGACAATCCTTTATATCACTTCTTAGAGATTGGTGGCACTTTCCTCTCTGAAGCAGCAAAAAGTAGGTTAAAAAGTCCCACTTTCTTCTTGAAAATACAAAGCGTACGTAAGGCACGTAATAGAGACCTTGACTCAATCTGCAGACCGGAAGTCACTCTATAGATGATAGAAATGAAATTCTTGTAAGAAAGGATCGTTCCGAGCAACCCGGGCTTGCGTCTGGAATAACCCGCAAGACCCATTTCCCCTAGTGGATATCAACATTATGACTATGTACCGTACATGATAGAAATATTATAGAAAAATTTGATCCCGTTCCAATCGCCTCAAGGTAGCAAAGCTGGTTGTCCTGTTGAGGCCTGAGTCACCCTACTCCTAGCCCTATCCTTGATGAAATTGCCTGACTTTTCCGCAGACACTGCGGTTGCCGGTATACAGGCCCTGACAACTCTACTCATTAGCCTGAATCCCACACCTAAATCCGAAAAAATAAAAAAAAAAAAAACAGACGATCTTGACATTCCCCTTACATAGTATCCCAGGTTAACGCCTCAAACCAACAACCCCACAACAACAGGCGCCACGCCCCAAAGCGCCGTGCGCGCGCCCAGCAACCGTCCGGCCCCGTTCTGCTCCACGGGGAAGGCGTCCGGGTCGTCCGTGTTGCAGTGGCCCTCGGTCTCGGTCGAGCTCAGCGTGCAGTTGGCGGTGCGGCCGTCGGCGCTCTCGAAGGTCAGCACGGCGCTGTACCAATCCACCGTGACCGAGGCGTCGCCGCAGATGGACTTGGTCTGGACGCCGGTGTTGCGGCCGCACGACTTCTTGAACGGCTTCGACGAGCCCTTGCAGCCGAACAGCTCGTCCTCGAGGATCACCGAGCAGTGCGAGACGTACGAGTTGGCCGGCGGGTTGGTCGTCCGGATCTTGATCTCCGCTGCGGTGAGGGTCTGCGCGAGGGCGAAGAGGGCGCCGAGCTTGAGGAGGTGCATGGTGGTCGGTTAAGGGCTTGAGGGGTTTGGCGTGGGAAGTGGGAGCTGCCGCATAAGAAGTCAGAGGAGGGGAGTAGGAGGGAGTGTTCAGGCCGAGAATTGTGGTTTATATGCTTTCTGGTCTACTACGGGCAATTCTCGGCTATTCCGGCACGGTGAGTCGGGTGCTCGGGACCCTGAAGGGTTTTTGTGTAGACAGACGACCAGTCATAATGAGGCTTATCGGGCGTTGAAAGGCTCCACTGTAGTGTCTACTAGTATTGTTTGAAGAGTCTGGCGATGGTTTGTGGGCCATGTACAGTACAGTTTGGACTGTTGACATTTGGTACGGTCCTGTGCACTTCCAGAGCATCCGTGCCGGCGATCCGCATCGGGCTTGGCAGGGTGCGGCTTGGCCGACAGGGTCCTCTTTCACTACAAGAGGTAAATAGCCATTACTGTAAGGAGAGCGCATTGGCGATACAAGAAATACAAAATAAATGAGTTGTTGGACTAATGTAAATGTTCAAGGGTTTCATTCCTCTTGTTTGTCTGAATACGGAGTAAGATACAGCGAAGGGAAAGGGGTTTATCTCCCTCAGACCACAAGCTCGTCTAGGGCTCCGAGACATCCGGTTAGGGGTCCACTTCCTCCGACTGATGTCGAATGAAGAAGTTGTTCCTGATCCAGGATGGGAAAGACGACCTACAAAAAAGGCAAATCGGAATCTAATAGTCTGGGTCACACGGCTTCGTCGAGTCTAGATAAGCATAGGTAGATAGTAGAATTAAATCCCGCAAAAGGACGAGTCATTGGCAAATTAGCAGTTATCGTTGGTGTTAGAAGCTATTAGGGCAAGGTCACGAGCATTGAAGCTGTGCCTGAAGCCTGTGTATGGGTAAATATACTTTACCCAGGTAGATGTATCATCCTGACCAAACTCACAGATACTCTGTAAGTGCAATCGACAAGACCTCTACAGTATCCAGCAGTCAAGCCACGATCACGCGAGAAGCGAACGCAAACCAGACCACCGCTGACCGACCTAACATCACCTCAGCTCTCATCCTCAACAAAATGAAACCCCGATAATTAGGTACGGCATTCCTCTACACCATCACCACCCCACAATTCTCACAACACCCACTCTCATCCCCACTCTCCGAGTCTGACTCAAAATAACTCTCCTCAGAAGCACCCACCAAGCCCACCGACTCACTCAACGTCCGCCTCAGCGAGCGCAGCAACTCCTCCACCCGACCCCGGTCCTGCACGAGACAGAGCACCTTACAAAGGCCCCGCCGGCACCCATCCTCTGCCTTCAGGTTCTGGAACCACACGTGGCCCCCAACCGCGATCCCCAGCACAAACTCCGGTAGCAGCGCGGAGTCCCCCACCACCAGCTGCTGCTGGACGAGGGCCAGCTTCCGCTGCCGGAGCTCGCGCAGCTGCAGCTCCGGACTGGCCCCCTGTGCGGCGGTGGCGTCGTGGCAGATGATCTGGATGACGGCGATGTTGTCCTTCCCATTTTTGGGGTGGGGGTCTACGAGGTCGATGATCTCGTAGGGGAGCGGGGTGTTTGTTGCGGACTCGAAGAACCGGCGGGTGAGGAGGCGGTAGTTCTGGGTCTGGCTGTCGCTGCTGCCGGGCAAGACAAACGCGCGGCCGAGAATCTGCGCCCACAGTTTGGCGGTCTCGCGAGCGGTCGTGTGGTTGTTGGACTGGATGGCTTCGAGGTAGATCCGGATGTGCTCGTCGGCCCAGTAGGACCATGCGCGCTTGGCCGGGTCGGTGATTTTGTCCTGGGGAGGTAAGGTTAGTTCGATTGTTTGGGTGGTGGATCTTTGGGTTTCTTGGGATGGGGTGGCCATTTTGATGGGGGGTTTTCTTGTTGAGTGAGAGACCTTGAGGCACGGGGGTGGTTCTGGGGATAAGCTCTGCTGGTTTGAGGCTTGAGGATGCTGTAGTGCATGGTGGTGGGCATTGCAAATGGGAGTATTTAAACCCTACATGATAGGGAAGATGATGTTGATGAGAAAGAAGTGTGTAGAAAGAGACTTGGTGTAGGTTCTCTGCCCGATGTGAAGGAGGGTTGAAGAGGGACAGATGTGTTCATTATGGTTATACAACCGTGAAGGGCCCTTGCAATTCTGTTTATACTCGATACTGCATTGTGAGTAGTGCTCTGTCTTTCTAGAGACGAAGAAGACGCATGCAAAAGGCTTAACTGTTGAGCGGCATGCTTGTGATGTATGCCTTTGTCACTTTCCTTTGTTCGATCTGGCTTGGTATAGCTCTTTGTTCTTAGATGTTGCTGTACCCGACTTGGCTTCATCCGCATCCTTACTTAGGGACTACGGCAGGCTGACCACTCATTGACACTCTTGTCAACCTCTTCACGCTCATGAAGGAGTCTGGCTGGGTGTGAATGGAGCATAGATAAGCAATTGCTTAGTTACATTAGCGCCTTGGCTATAAGTCCACATTGCACAATTCAGCCCTTGGCCCTTGCTCCTTCAGCAGAGAGGTAAATTGAGAATAGATATGCTTTTGTGTTGGGTCGAGTAAGTCACTAAATCGCAAATTGCTGCTAGATCGCAAGGAGGTTACTGCATTGGTACCCTCCGTGGCCGCCAACTCTACCACTCCCGAAGCTTCAAAGTCAGGATTGGATGTCGAGGAACTTGCTGATATAGATCTAGATAGTGAACTTGACACAAAGTCATTATTTTCAGAATGGGTTTGAAATAGGATCATGAGTTTAAGAATGAGTCAGATTGACATCAACTAGCATCATTGGTCTAGTGGTAGAATTCATCGTTGCCATCGATGAGGCCCGTGTTCGATTCACGGATGATGCAATATTCTTTTGCCCTTTCTTTTTCCCTCCCGTCCACCCGATCCTCTCTGCTCTGTTCTATTCTGTCTCCTTCCTTCTGCGTTTTTTTTCTTTTTCTTTTTCTTTTTCTTTCGACATCCATCTTAATTTTCTGTTTCAGTGTATATTCTATCCTGCCATCGATGGACGCCTCGGTTCCTTTCCTACAGTATCACCCACCGCGAACCCTAGGACACATTCTCGTACGATTCAAACATCCGCAAACACCCAATTAGTATCTCCCGAGAGATCCCACATATTAAACAGGTCGCCCGGCAGTTCAGAGAAATCAAAGTCCTCAAGCGACGGCACAATACTGGAGTGCATACTTGGCGCAGACATAGCGTGACCCAGCATGTCGTTCTCCTGGTCCGGCTCTTTCACCGTCTCTGCGAGATTGTCAGTGCCCGATACAGTTACAGTCCCTGTCGTAACTCAACCTACCTGAGCCCCCAAATCCCACAGTACAATTAACCCCGCTGTCATCTTCTGCCACTGCATCCTCGCCCGAGCCATCCACCTTCCGCACCATGACGCTGATGGCCAGCCAGGCCTGCCTCGCCTCCGCCGACTCCCCCTGATACTGACTCAGGATCCCCTGTGAAGTGCGTAGCGCGAGCAGCAGCGCCTCCGTCCCCGGGTTGTAAGCATGCAAGCCAACCCCGCCCTCCCGCCTCCGCAAATGCAGCTCGAAACACACCACCATGGCAGCAAAGATAAAATCATGGGTCGTCAACGAGGTCACGAACCAGCGACACCGCGCCAGCACCCCGCCCGGCTGAACCTGCGCGTCGATCGTCGCCTGATGCCGCAGCAGCCGCAGCGCGGCGTCCAGACACACTCCCCTCGACGACGCGGCACCTCGTAGCTCCAAGCGGCGGCCCTCGCCGAGTCCTCGCCGATGCAGAATACACCGCGACTTCTGGTAGAGGATCTCGAGATTATAGCGTAACATCACGAGATGCGGCAGCTCCGTGACCGAGGCGCCGACCTCGCGGAACCGCAGGACCGCCGGCGTCCCCGCGTAGGCGGCATCGAGCTGCTGATCCAGTTGACTTACCTGACTGGGGGATGTGGGGTGTGTCGAGGCGACGTGATCCGCAATGCGGCCGAAGACCTCCGCCAGCCGGCTCTTGGCGATGAGATACAGGACCGGCGTGAATTCGGTCTCTGGGCGGGGTGGCGGGAGACTGGTGGAGGGTGGACCGAAGTCCTCGTCCAGCAGGTTGCGCGGGGGCCGCGTGTCGGCCACCCCGCTGGCGATCATGCGCGGCAGTCCGATCTGGAACGAGAACAGCGCGTCGAGCTGCGCCACGAGCGACCACAGGCGCCGGCGCATTTCGGCCTCGAAGCAGGAGAGTCGTGGGGAGTACCCTGCGCCGTCGCGGTGGAGCCCGGCCCGCATCGCGAGGCGGATGGTCATTCCCATCGGGAGCCAGACTTCGTGCTGTGCGTCTTTGCTTCGGAAGTACTCGGTTTGCGTGTACAGGGCCAGCGCTTCGAGGGTGTATTTGGTTGGGGTGGTGTATTTGGCGGTGACGAGGCAGTAGGCGGCTTGCAGGCGGAAGGTCTCGCATTGGGTTGCGGGGGTGGTGCTGTTGTTATTGTTGTCGATGGGGTCCGGGGTGGTGGAGCCTTCGGTGCGCTGGTGCAGGTGGATCGCGAGGTTCATTATGCTGAAGAGGAGGCTGAGCCATGTGGGGCTGATGGACTGGGGTTCGGTCCAGAAGTGGTCATACTGGGCTTTCGTCAGTGGCTACGGTAAGCACGAGTTGTGGTGGTGGGTGAGAAACCTCGTGCTGGAAGGTAGGCGCGTGGATGATCACTGGCGGGATGAGATTAATTGACTTGCTAGTATATTGGAGCTGAGTAAACTCACGAACACCTGGTTCCATTGAACTAAAGAACCGCGATACTAACCGGTCAACGATGGGTCGTGGCGGGATATGAGCCAGGATCCCCTCCATTCCACCCGGTGGAGACAGCCCCAGTAGCAACGCGGAACCTTGCGGGACGGCATCTGCATCAGACGTAGTGTAAGGTGACTCAGAGTCAACGCACTCCTTAATCTCAGCGATCTGTTCATATTAAGTAAATGGACAAGTGAACAGTGTCAAGACTCTACCAGTACGTGAGTGTAACATACGCTAACCTGAAGTGCAGCCCAGTGCGCACCCGAAACATAGCTCATACCCGTCGGATCCACACGCATGCTTCCCAACGAGCTGGTGATTGCGTCTTGCTCATCTGCATGGCCAATCTGGCTCTCCTGCGCCGTGTGCAGGGGGTTACCCTCGTGGCTCGAGCGCCCACCCTTCTGCAAGACCGTCACAAGCTCCTCGAGTTGCCGAATGCGTTGACTCAAGTGCCGCGCTGACGCAGGAGGGTTGCGACGTGAAGCCGCCAAAGCTGGCCCGGCATAGACACATTCTAGACCACGCTTGACACAACTGCTACATGGTTGGAGACGATCACATCGCAGTCTTGCATAGGTCAGTACCCGGGGCGTTTCGGGAGATCGAGGGTAGTTACTTTTTCTGACGACAAAAGGTACAAGATAGGGCTGTTCTTACTGGAGGCTGCAGCGATGCCATCAGTCTGTAGTTCGGTTGTCGTCCAGGGAAGACCCAGTCACGCTGTGGCTTGTTCGGCGTGAACGATCAATGTGCGGGTGCGGGGTTGTCAGCCGCCGCTTATGTCAGCCCCACACCCTCCATGTTCCACCTGAGGCTTGTTTTGATGCCACTCGATGCCGTTCTCGAATGGCTGTCATATCCGTACCGTAGTCAATGTTCTAATGCGATCAAAAAGACAAACCGGTCACGTTCCCAAGCCCTACTGGATGTTTGCTTCACCCGTGAAACCCAATCCGTTGCGTACTTGAATCATTGCCTAATCCGGGAGATATGCTACCAGCCAGGTTGGCATGTCATCTTTCCCAAGAGACCCCAAGACTCTAGACCAAGCCAAGCGTAGATCCACTGATCCACAGTATATGACCTACAAGCTAGAAGTAGCTCCTGAGTCCTCTCAGAGGATGTGTGCTTCCTCGACGCCAGCTGAGCACCTCTGGACTTCCCGTCCAGGCCTAGCGCCGGCCCGGAGATGCTAGCGCCGGAAGCAGACCCGCCCCGTCGCATCGGGTCCGGACCCATGCTCCGGGGTCGTTGCTCTCGACGCGCATAGTATAAATGCTCAACCCTACCAGGGTACTGTACGTAACCCACTGCACCACCCCTCATTCCCCCAAAACCACGATCCTCATCACAAAAGTCTCCCAGGCAAGACCGAAAAATGACAGCCCTCCGACAAATCTTCCCCCCAACCCCAGCCTTCACCGACCAAACCATCCCCGACCTCACCGGCAAAACCATCATCATCACCGGCGGCACCTCAGGCGTGGGCTACCACGCCGCCAGCCTCCTGTACGCCAAGCACGCGACCGTCTACATCGCCGCGCGCTCCGCCGAGAAGGCCCAGACCGCGATCGCCACCATCCAGTCCGCCCCGGAGTGCACGCACAGCCGGGGCCGGCTCGCCTTCCTCGCATTGGATCTCTCCGAGCTGCGCAGCATCAAACGCAGCGTTGAGGAGTTCCTACGACTAGAAAACCGGCTGGATATTTTGGTGCATAATGCCGGGGTGATGACGCCGCCGGCGGGGAGTAAGACTAGTCTTGTACGTTGGCCCTCGTCCAGATTTTCTTTCTCAACGGTAAGGGTGGTGTACTGATGTGATGGGGGTTGGTGAAGGGCCACGACCTCGAAATGAGCACGAACTGCCTCGGCCCGTTTCTTTTCAACCAGCTCCTCCTTCCGACGTTGCAGCGCACGGCTGCTTCCGCGGAGCCGGGGAGTGTGCGCGTCGTCTGGGTCGCGTCGTTGCTCTCTGCGTTCGTCGCGCATGGGGGCATTGTCTTTGACGAAGAGAGTGGCGCGCCCACGGTGCTCAAGAATGTGATGGGGAATTACATGCAGAGTAAAGTCGGGAATGTGTTTCTGGCCAGTGAGATGGCGAGGCGGGTTGGTGGGGATGGGGTGATGAGCCTGGTTTGTTGCCGTCCTTTCCATTTTCTTTTTCTTCCCGAGTGGGGACACAAAGAAGCTTGTACTGATCAGCACGGTAGAGCGTTAACCCCGGACTCATGAAGACGGAGCTCCAGCGGCATAATTCGCCGGCGCAGGGGAAGATCATGGTTTGTCTTTCTTCCTCGTTCTAAAGTGGTAAAGTGGGATGCGTGCTGACTGTAGCAGGGGATCTTGTTCAAAGGCCCGCGGTACGGGGCGTACAGTGAGCTGTTTGCTGCTCTATCACCGGAGGTCACCCCCGAGAGGAACGGGGCGTTTGTCATCCCCTGGGGTAGATTCGGGACGGTGCCGTGTCATATTGAGAAGGGTTTGGCAAGTGAGAGGGATGGGGGCACGGGGGCGGCGGAGAGGTTCTGGGGGTGGTGTGAGCGGGAGACGGCTGCTTTTCGATGAGGAGCTTGCAGCTATTGATTGGACCTAGTTGGTATACCCTACTTGTATCTTAACTCATTAATGAATGTGTCTGTGTCAGCTACCATTTTCTACCTTTCACTGTATATCTACGTCCTACATAGTATAAGGGAAGGCAAGAAGACTTGGCAATCGTTATCGCCCGATAAGCGCGGCATTTCCACGCATGCATCCGGCTAGCCCCGAAGGCTAACAAGTGGGGCCCCACATGCGGACGGACGGACCACGTTGCATGGAAAATGAGAGAACAAGCATCCTATAGTTAGTAATTTAGACCTGGTGCAAGGCTGCAAGTCCTGTGGGCCGGAACTTGTTGACATATAAGAATCCAGCAAGGCCCACAACAAACCTCCCAGCACCCACATCAAACCTCAGACACTTCAAATCTTCAAATCACCCGCAATGGACACACCAGACTACGAAACCGAAAAGGCCAAGATGCTCCGCGGCGAGCTCTACCGCGCCTTCACTCCGGGCCTGATCACCGCCCGCCACCGCTGCAAAGTCGCGGTGCATGCGTTCAACAACGCCGGGATCGTCTCGCGACGGCGGCAGGTTGAGCTCTGGAGAGCGTAAGTCTTATTTATATACGCACTAGCTTCTTATCGAGAAAATCTGTTGAGTCTCCGAAAAGGATAGTGGAGGACGCCCGCCGCCTCCCACCGCCGGCCCCCACTCCAGAAGAAGATGAGGCGCTCTTCGAGCACGAACCATGGGTGGAAAGCCCCATCCGCATGGACTATGGGTTTAATGTAAGCGTCGGCGCGGGCACGTTCATCAACTTCAACTGCACGATCATCGACACCTGCCGCGTGGTGATCGGGGAGCGGTGTCTGTTTGGCCCGAATGTGAGTCTCTACACGGGACTACATCCGCTGGACGGGGAGGTGCGGAATGGCACGGCCGGGCCGGAGTGGGGCAAGGAGATTCATATCGGCGATGATTGCTGGTTGGCCGGGGATGTGAAGATTCTGGCAGGGGTGACGGTCGGAAAGGGGTCGACGGTTGGGGCGGGGAGTGTCGTTACTAAAGTAAGTTATCTTCGTTTCTTTATGGTGATGGAGGTTCGGTTGCTGATGGCTGTTGTAGGACGTACCGCCGTATTGTGTGGTGGTTGGGAATCCGGCACGGGTTTTGAGGTATCTCAAGGGGAGTCCGCATTATAAGGAGGAAGGAACGTCGGGTTGATGCATTTAGTCGAGGTATAGTATAGAACCAAAGGGTAGAGCCTGGTCTTAGTTAGTATATTGGAAGCTGAGAAGTAGATGTTATCTATTGGTTAGTAGTGGACAGCAAGCGCATAGAGACTAAATCTCTTTCACATATAATATAATATAGTATGATTTTCTGTTCACAATGTAGGTGATTGGTAACATAAAACACAGCAGAAAATAGCACAAGCAGTGTTCAAACAGCATCTGTTCATAGAACTATTAACAGATCAAACGGAGTTTGTCGGTTGGACTGAACACGAGGATCAAAAAATGGGAGACTAAATACGTGCTTTCTTGATCATTTGCTTGAACGCGTAACCTTGTCATCAAGTCCACTCACGATTGACCAGACGGATCGGGCCAGCAACCTTGGCGAAGCTCGAGTGGGTCCGACCCCGCCCATCCGGAGCAGTATGTCCAGGGTTGCATATTGTCTAGGCATTCGAGTCGATACGAAATATCCCGTCTCTCGGCGTCCGGGGGCGAGCGGTAGTATTGAATGACGGGATCGTTCCGACAAGAGACCCATTGCTCGACACATCGAATCCTGGCGCCCCCGCCAGCGTTTTGCACGGCCCTATGAGTCTGCAGGTGCTCCACAAGGACGTGGGAGCTGTCTTTGACGGGAAAGACGAGCCCATACAGCAAAGATTTGGTAGGAAACCCGCTGTGTCGGCCTGGTGGACCCACGATCCAGGTCAGATGGACTCGCGCCGCCCCACCGCTTCGGCAGAGGAGATCTTCAGCTGTAGACAAACATGGAAGTGGACTCACCAAGACGAGAAGACCTTTGTTAAACAACTGCAACTCTTCAGTAACACCAGGGCTTCGCTCCAGAGTAAGTATCACGCGTGAATCTCTCCACAACGAAGAACATACCACAGTTTACTTCGGTAGCTCCTGAACCGGTGTTCACTTTGTGCTTTTGAGTAGATCCAATGAATTCAGAGTTGAAGTTTCTCAGTAATCGGTGATGGATGGAAGTTGTTACACTTAAGAATAAGTTAGGAAGAGAAAGAAGGAACGTAACAGAATTGATAAAGTGTGTGGACTATCGCTTATAAATGGTGGTTGAAGATTTTGGCAGCTTCTGATCACATTCACTGTTAACCCCCTACGGCTGAAGCATCAAGCTACGGTACTTCATTTGTGATACTGTCACTGAGAAGGCAGAAACTAATTTCAAATTATCAAGACACCTAAATTCTCAGGGTAGTAATTGAGAAACAAGGCGGCAGGATCTTCCAATTCAAATGCGCCATTAAAGGTGATTGGTGATACCACTCATCAAATATTATATAGTAGTTTGTAAGTGTATGCTCCCTAAAGACTTAATCTAATTGATAGTATACATTAGACCCTCACATATAGCACAACTGATGTTCATTGCTGGTGACAATAAAGCTTAATCTGTAGAGAATCGATGCATGGATTGGAGCTATGATATCAACTATTGACTATATGAGGCAGGATTCAAGGCTACTTCACAGCGTGTTGCGTAGGAGATAATTCCTCTATATAAGGGACATTCATAATGCTCCCCAGGGCTAATGAGACAGCAATGCACAGAGTGCATAATCGGATGAATAAACATGCATAAGCATACATAAGCATAAGTCTCCACATGGAAAGTCTTCTGTTCGGCTAGACTCTCTCCCTCTTTCTTTCCTGATCTACAGTTCATCTATTCAACAAGCATCGACAAAAGTACTATGTTGGCTAGACTTCATACTCTGAAGTAGTACCAAGCTTGATGGTGAGGTGTACTACAAAGAACGGCAATAATCCGTCCTATTCCCACAACAACTAGCCAGCTATGGAGTCCGACACGTTGCCTCTTCAGCGCAAGAAGAGGCAATACCAACGATCCACGACCGGGTGTATCATGTGCCGCACCCGCAAGAAGAAATGTGACGAGCTGCATCCCATCTGTACTGGCTGCCAGCGCAATGGGTTAATCTGCGAATGGCCCTCCGCGGAGCGACCGCAACGCAAACCGCGCCGGTCACAGCACCACCACCTGTCGCAGATAGGCTATGCTTTGCCGCCGCATATCGAGGCGATGATCACCGTCTTTGCCGTCCCCAATGCCGACATGGCCAGTCGTCTTCTGTCTCACTTCACCGACTACAGCCCTAGATGGCTCTCCACCCGCACAGGACGCCGCCGGTCGGAATTCCTGAACCACCTGATTCCAGCGGCTATGGATAGTCCACTGATTCTGAAGTGTATGTTGACCGTCTCGGCCGCGGACCTGATCAAGTATGATCCCTCCAACGTGGGACTGAAGGGTGCAGCGGTGGAGTACTACGGCCAAGCGCTTGCGAGTCTTCGTGAAGCTATCGCCGATGAAGAGAGATCCGGCAGCAGCCCCTCTGGTAGGATCTGCACCCTGCGTTGATGGCTCGAGGCTAACAAGTCGCAGACTATACCCTCTTAGCTGTATTGCTTATCTGTCTCCACGAGGTCAGCACACCCCCTCAAACCAAGACCGAAGTCTAATACACGGTAGATCCAAAACTTCACCTCTGTGCACCGCCTCCTCCCTCATCTCAACGCAGCAGCCGCCCTTTTTTCGCATAAATTAGACGCCACCACCGCCCCGCCCAACTCGCAGCTCCGCCAACTCCTGTCCGATCTATTCAGCTACTTCTTCGCCCTAACCACCTTCACCCACGGCCCCCATCTCGCCCTCCACCGGGGCTCCTCGATCCTCGAGACCTACCTCACCACCACCCCTCCCTCCCCCAACCCGAACAAAGACCCAAGCCCAGGAACAGGGGCAATCCTCGGCACCGCCCAACAAATCTTCCTGATCATCTTCCGCGCCTCCCACCTCATCCAACTCGCCAAGCAAACCCGCACCCCGCTCACGGCCGCCATGAAGACAAAACTCACCGCCATGGAGCGCCAGCTCCACGCCCTGCAGAACAGAACCCTGCCCCCGTTCAACCAGGGCTACGCCGACGTCGAAGAACAAGGCGACGCCATCATGTCCGAGCTCTACCGGCTGGCGTGTATCCTGTATCTGAAACGAACGATCGACCCTGCCGTCGGCATCAAAAACCACGCGATCCAAGCCATTGTCACGGATTTTATTCGGCTGCTGGAACTGCTCCCGCCCCACCACCCGGTCAACTGTATCCTGTGCTGGCCGCTGGTGGTGGCGGGCTTGTGTACGACGCTGCATGCGCATCAGCGGGTGATCACGACGCGGCTGGGCCAGATCTATGGGGTGTGGACGTCGGATCTGGTGACGATGAGTATGGAGCTTCTGCGGCGGGTGCAGGCGGGTGGGGATGAATTGCATTCCGCGAACGTGGGTGGTTATGGGATGCATGATTTGGAGTTTGCGATGGTTCTTTTGTAGCTTGGGCAGTTGGGGTATTTCTTGGGACTTTTAACTCGATAATCGAATTCTGTGGCGAGAGATGTATTACCAAAGGAGTCCAGACGGCCATCTCTCAGGGTTGTTTTTGTGGTTGCTGGTTCGTCCGGGTTGCAAAGGACTTCTGGGTGAAGTTACAAGCACCGAATACTACGCCTAGCATCATAATATGACTGTATAAAAACCTACGTTTCTTGCATATAGTAAGTCCTCTGACCTCAGATATGTCTGGTTGGAGTGTACAACAATACAAAGATGCGCTATCTACTAGGTAGCACATCTCACATAGAATTTCTCCATTGAATGTATTCGCAACTGATCTAGATATCAAACAGTTCCCAACCTAAGTACACAAATCCGAACACCGCTTTGCATATGCAACTTAAATAAAGAACACCTACCGACCCAGTCAAGAGTACAAAGAATAAGCCTCACAGAGACGAAATCCTACTTAACAAGCATGCACCACAAAGATATAATAGAGATGTACCTCAACACCTCCGCCAGCAGTCATTATCCATTGCAACTGTTAACAATGCCATAATCACACAACCCAGAATTATAAATAAACGTCTACCAACAGAAACCCCTCAAAGCTATCCAGCTAACGTGCAACAGAACACAGACAACACCACTTATAAAATGGCCCGTTCAACCAACCTCCCCACGCTGCACGTTACCACTCCACGCACGCCATCGCCAACCCCAGCATCAGAGCTCGGCCCGCACGAGCCCAGCTACAGCCTAGCAGCCTCCATCCGCAACAAGCTGCGTCTCTCCAACCACACCACTCCGCGCCAGTCAGCCGGCGCAGCAAGCAGCAGCGCAAACGCAGCAGCCCCCTCATCATCCCGAAGCAGCCGAAGCAGCAGAACCAGCGCAAACAGACGGCCCCCGCAGGATATATATAACCCGCCGGCACCGTCCCCCGTCCCCCCTCCTCCCCAGCCGACTCTCCTCGCACCCCTCCATCTCTGCGTGCTCCACCTGGACCGACGGCTCCACCCCCAGACCCAGCCCTAACCCCTCGCCCACCCCCAACCCAGCGACCATGGGCCCCCAAAGCCCCCCGGCACCGGCACCGGCACCCACCGCACCCACCGCACCCACCGCACCCGTCCCCCAACCGCCACCGCACCCCCTCCCCATAGCCCCCACACAACCCCCCCATTTCCTCCCCCTCTTCCCGCTAGGCCCCATCCCCAACGGCGCCCTGCACCACCTAGCCACCTTCCACCACCACCTCACCTGCACCCGCGCCGCCATGGGCACCCCGGACTACCCGATCTTCCTCGCGGACCTGCACGACCTAACCACCGCGCCGCGGGGGATGGACACGGCGCGGTGGTCGCGGGTGTGCGCGGACTGCGCGGCGTACTGGGCGCACGTGCCGATGGTCCACACGCCGCGCCTGGGCCGGTTCTACGATCACCTGGCGGGGGACGTGGACGCGCTGGTGGGCCCCGTCGGCGCGCGCGACAGCATCGAGGATCTGATGGCGCGGGACGCGTACACGGTGGAGGCGCTGCGGGCGCTGTATGTGGCCGACGTGTATGTGCAGGGGTGTCGGGCGGCGAGGCGGCATGGCGTGACGCAGGAGGAGTACGCCGAGGCGTTTCTGGCCGAGGCGCGCAAGGTGTGTGATCTCCGGTGGTTGAAGCGGGCGGCGCGCGTGGTGGAGGCGCGGGAGGATATGAAGGGGTGGGGGTTGGGGTAGTTTCGTCTCTGCAGGGGATGAGTTGGATTTCATAGATTGGTTGAATTGAATTGGATTTATACCAATGGAACTTGATTTTGTAGACTGAATATGTGCACTGAATATGTGCACTGTCATACACTACCTATAAATTCTAACGCTATGCTGCTAATGCTGCTATGCTATGCTGCAACCCTACTACCACTCCACCACCCCCCGGACCGGAACCCTCAACAACCGCAACCCTGACCCTGACCCTGACCCGTGACTCCCCGCCCCCACCGGCGCAGGCAGCCTCCCCCCGCGCACATTCACCTGCAACGCCGCATGCAACAGCCTCGGCTCTCCAAGTCCCGCATCCCGCTCCCGCCGCACCCTGAGAAACTCCTCCCTCCCCACCCCATCCTTCAGGTGCTGATTCAGCCGCCGATGATCCTCCACCGTCCCAAACGGCACCACCGCCCGCCCCGCCGGCGGATAGTCATGTCCCGCCCAGACTTTTGTCTCGGGCGCCATCCCCAGCACGCGTCGCCCGGAGGCCCAGAGACTCTCCGCCGACCCGCCGGGGAAGTCGCATCGCGCGGTGCCGATGTCCGGGTTGAAGAGCGAGTCGCCTGCGAAGATGTTGTCTACCGCCGATCAATGTCAACATATGCGGCAATTTTGAAAACTTAAAACTGGGACAAGGATGTGGACATACCGCCAACCATATACCCCAAATGATCCGGGGTATGGCCCGGCAGATGCAGCGCCACGGCGCCGAGACTCCCAATCTGGAAGCGCTCGTCGTCCTGGAAGAGTTTGTCGAACGCGGTGGTGCGGTATTCCGCTTCCGGGATGCTGTAGCGCTGCGCGAAGAGGGTCTGGACGTGTTGGATGCGCTGGCCGGCGCAGATGGGGACTCTGGACTGGGGGGTTGAGGCAGCGGGTTGGGTTTCGAGGAGCCGGGACTGCAGGTACGCGGCTGCGGTGAGGTGGTCGGCGTGGATGTGGGTTTCCAGGATGTGCGAGATGGTGTAGCCCTCTTGCGCGATGAAGGCGAGCAGGGCATCGGCGGTGCTGGTGCGGATTGTCTGGGTGGTGGGGTCGTAGTCCAGGACCGGGTCGATGATGGCGGCGGTCGAGGTGGTGGGGTCCACGACGAGGTATTGCCAGGTGCTGGTTTGGGGCTCGAAGAGGGCGTGGATGGTTGGCGTGGTGGGGGAGGTGCTGGCGAGGGTTGTGTGGGGCATGGCGGGTTGTTGTGGTGTATGTATCGAAGATGCGGACTGGGGAAGATGAGTGGCTGGGGCTGTTGCTGTTGAAATGAAGCGTTTGCTGAGGGGTAGTATGCGGGTTGAACTGGCTGAGGGGAAGGCAGTATACGGCAATGGATGCACCCGAGTGACGATCGCCCTTTGTGCTGGCTGGTGCAGAGTGCGACTAATGAGTCGAGGTCTGACAGATAATATAAAATTCATATTGATGGTCAATGGCGTTATATCCCCTTGAAGACTTCGACACAATCCACGCAGTAGATGGGTGCTTAAGTATGCTCGGCGAGGTGGACGGCCTGACGTCAATCGGCGATGGAAGTGTAATCGGCGACCCGCTGACCTCCCCGGTGGGCCCTGCCCGGCTTCTCCACTTCCCCGAACTTCGAACATTCCCTAGGTTTTCTAAGCACCGGGCAGTCAGTTGCCCGAGAGTTTTATCAAGGTTGAAAGTGTAGATGACTGACTCCGCGTAGTAACGCCATTTCCATGGCCCGAGTGGCGAATGGCGACATGTCTCCGCCAGTGTTCAGTGACATGTTTCCAGGGCAAAGTTCAATTCAACATCATTCCGTGATCATACAGTTTTAGTCTCATTTCTATCAGACTCAAAGAACTATTAGATAATATAATTCTTAATCTATTTTGAAAGGCTATTAACAATTCTAATTTGATACTGGTCAACAGTATCCCACTAAGCTTCCTAATCTATAACCCCACGAAGACAATTCGAAGCAGATCAAATACTATGATCATGCGTTACATCAACTATATAGCTTGTGTATTGAGGAGCCCAGTTCTGCGATAACTTCATCCATGTTACAGGAGAGAAAACCCACAGAGAACACAAACACTCATCAAGTGAGGAGGAGGGTGGTGCAGATGCAGAAAGTTATGACTAGAGTAGGAATCAAACCCGTGCCACTTGGGTGACTAGGAGTACTGTTCGTAAGAGTGTATGTCTGTAATACTGATCTGATCTGAGCAGAGACATCACACACATACAGCCCTGGAAACCTCCCTACTACGTGGAAGTGTATGGGGCCCCACTTGGCCCATTCGGGCAATATTCGAGCGCGTTTATGCCTAGATGGGCCAAGTGCCATCTTCAAGTCGAATCCATGCATCAAAAGCCCCACCCGTGACACTATGAAAGTCGTCAGATCTCAGCATGTCCATAGTACATCCGGAATCTTGAAGACTTGATCTGACTCCTAATTTGGTACCTGCGGGCGATAATCTCGCCGTTAGGATATGTTTCACACAGGTTGCATCCCCACTGAAGTATGAGCCTGTGGCCGGCCACTTCCCCGATCGGGCAATAATCGAACGCACCTCGTACTGATGGCCTATAGTTGGATTAGGCTATAATTGAGGACATCCTGGATGTGCCGTCAGCCCTTGGCGGTTGCCTGGCTCGCTAGCCTTAGAACAGTATCTATTGAGCGCACCTGTATTCAACGAGGCGCGCAGCCCTCGCAAGCATGCATGTCTTCAATATCCTACGGAAGTATAAAGCAGTCGACTGTCCCCGTCCCAAGTCTTCCTAGATACTGCCATTGCCATCTCCTCTCCCACAAGTCTCTTACCTTGATTATCACCTCCAGAAAATCATGCAATTCTTCCAACTCCTGATTATCCTTGCCGCTGGCGCTGCTCTGCCCGCCAGCGCAGCAAGCTGCCCTCCCTTCCCCTCCTCGGTGATTGCGTTCTCAGCCGGCTTCCAACAGCCCAACCCGCCTCGGATCAAGGCAGAGTACCAGACCAACTTCATTCAACACAAGTGGTAAGCGAGCGACCAACAGAGAGGTCCCAGCCCCTCGTCGACCACCACACTGAACAAGTGTTAGGAACCAGAACCTATCCCACATCACAACCGGGTTCATCAACAACTCGCCCTCGCAGAATTTCGTCCGGGCCGACGAAGCATACGACGGGAATTTGGCCTCGTCGCTGTTCAACTACGCCAACACGACCGACGATGGTCTGGTCGACAACATCCTGACCACCTATGACCACGACTCCACCAAACCCACGGTGTGGCAGGGATTCGTCAACTCGAACTTCCCCCTGTTCCCCGAGGACATCCTGATCACCTATGGTGCGGTGTTTGGCGGACTGGTCCGGCGGCGGTTCAACGAGGACTTGGTGGCTGCTGTAAGTGGGCCTGCCCTTCTTGGGTTTTGCTTGAACACATCCACACACACACACAAGGAGAGCAAGAAAAGCTGACAGATGTGGCCGCATCAGTGGGATATCATGTACCAGGGGGCTATCCCTGTGACGGTGTACGTGGACCGCTGCAACATCATGGTTGGATATGACTATTTCTCGCCGGGGTTGCGGACCAGAGTGATTACCGAATACTTTAACGTGGAGGTCTGAATGCAAGCGCCTCTAAAGCGGTGGTCTGGTTCATTGTCCTTGTGCTCCCTACCGGGATTCTATGTACATCCGATAATACCCTGTTGGCCAGGCTAGAGGTGTACGGTGTTTACTGTACGATGGCTGGCTGGCAGTATTCGATTTCATTTCCTATGGAATTATCTATCTGATATTAGAATTAGAGTATGCCCAAGGAACAGAAGATTCGGGACATGAAACTGCCAGTAGTCAACCGAATGTATGAGCCATACGAGTCTTGGCACTCACTACTCAGCCCCCGGGGCCCCACTGCAGCCAAGGGGTAAGTCACGTAAAAGGGCCAGCCAAACCCAACCCCAGAGTAGAACTTGGCCGCCACTCTTGGAGTTAACTCCTAGGCCAACTGGAGGCTCGAAGTCATGGCCGAACAGACATGCTCACGACCCACCAATAATATCACCAGACGCCCGGTGGGACCGCTGGACAAACGCAAAATCACCACGCGCTGCCAGCCATGTGCGACTCGACGGGTCAAGGTTCGCGCAGCCATTTTCTCCCCGGATCAAGTGAGATAGAGACAAACTTATAGGACGGTCAAAACAGTGTGCCGGGGGCCGTCCATGCGATCGATGCCTGCGGCTGCAGAAACCCTGTGTGCCACAGCCGCAGCCACAGCCGCCGCTCACGCAAGTCCCAGTAAGGTTCGTCTATACTTGCTCGAACGCGGCCCATCCCAGCGTGCCATCCCAAGTGCCTCGGCCCGATGGCAGTATCTATCTGGACCATTTCGCGTCCTTCCTGCAGCGGTGCCGCTTCAGCGACGCATTCGCGGCCGCACATGCAGATATCATCGGGGTCATCGGCCGATACCCGTTGCTCCGGCACATCACGATGGCGATCGGGGCGCTGGAGGCGGGGCGCAAGGGCGCGATCCGGTCCTTCGGCGCGCAGGAGTCGCCGCTCCAGATCGCGTTCCGAGCCTGCGGGCGATCGATCCGCGGTCTGCGCGCGACCACCGTCTCGACCGGGGACCAGGTCTATCGCGAGGATGTGGTGTGGTGCACCTTTCTCCACGGGCTGTTTGAGGTATGCTACTGTTATTGTTGCTATTGTTGTTGTTGTTGTTGTTGTTGCTGTTGCTGCTGCGCGACCAAATCCGGGCGATGCATGAACTAATTAGGGCACGCACGCAGCTGATGGCCGAGAGCTCGGGCGACTCGTTCGCACCGCACGTGGTGTTCGGGACGTCTTGCGTGCTTGCGCTGCTGGAGCCCACCACAAGCCCGCTCTCGCCGGCCACGAAGAGCCTGATTGATGCGCTCGGGATCCTCGAGAGCCACCGAGCCATCCTCTACGGCGACACTGCCACCCTGGATCCAGCCAGATTTGCCATCCACCAATCCCCACCCCAGCCGATCCGGCCAGACCCTCCAGACCCTGGGCGGGCGATCCTCAAGCTCATGGTCCAGACGACGAACTTCGCGAAACGGCAAGTCCCACCCAGACACCTAGTTTTCTGAACGCCCCTAACGCTCGCCCCGTCATGCCGGATAGACTATTCGACGAGATCGAGGCCATCGATCCGGACCGCAGACCCTCAGAGCCAAGATTAGACGCCCGCGCCCGCGCCGGGCTCGCGATCCGAGAAGCGCTTCTGAATGGGCGAGACGAAGCAACGACAAGCTTGCGGAGACCGCGTCCGATCGAGCCTTCCACACAGTTAGCCGTCGTCCTCAACCACGCTCTGGAGCTCTACCACTGCATGAACTTCACCTTCTACCCCTGCTGGTCGACGAGGACCGTCCCCCGGCTGACGCAGAGGGAAGTCGACGCGAACGTCGCGGCAATCCTGCATCGGTCGGGGTGGCTTCTCGCGGATACGGACATCCCGGCGGTGCTCCTGCTCTTCCCGGTGCGGATGGCCGGAGCCCATGCTTCCGGGCAACACGCCCGGGAGAGGGTGTTGGATACGATCCGCATGATCCGGCAGAAGGGCTTCGTCGTTGCGGATAGGATTGAGGTGGATTTGCATGAGGTTTGGGCGTATGAGGAGGGGGCGGGAGAGCTATAAACTAAGACAAGTATAAACTAATACAGGTATAAACTAAGACAAATAATATAATTAGTAGTTCCCGTAGACAAAACCTTCTAATACTACTTGATAGAGTTGATTTTAGCTATGGGTTAAGCTTTTGACATGAAATACAGCTTAAAAAGCTATGAATAAACATAAAAATAAAGAACAATCTAAGCAGGTTACAGCTTATATATAAAACAATTGTTAATGAAAACAGCAAAGTTAATAAAGCCACATCCTACCGCCCAAACAGCATCCCGCAAAAACAATCACCGAATCCTCGCTGCAGGTGCGCCCCGCCCCACCCACAACCCGGACCAGCCAGGGAATGGAATTTTCTTGTACTGTTAGTCTGTTGCACAAGGTTGCACCCCACAAGATCCAATGCGATCATCCCATGTGGCTCAACCCCCCCCCCCCCCCCAAAAAAGTTATTTTTGGGAATAAGGTTATCTCTAAATCCCCCCCAACATGGCAGGTGCACGGCTAAACGTTCAGGAGGTATGGGAATTTAGCGAAAGTGTATATTTACTTTTAAAAACATCCGGAGAGGTCAAAAGTTGGACAAAAAACTTCCCGGGGCAGTAACATTTTCGTCTGAAGGAAAAGCAGTGCTGGCATTTGGTGCAACCGGTCAGATGAATTGGGCAAGACTGCTCCGGCCAGCTTCCGGTTTCTCCCGATGGTGGGCTTCTTCTTTCGGTCAGCCCGGGGATTTCCCGTTAGTCAAGGTAACGCGTAGCGACACACTTCGTTGGTACTGTTACTTGAAAAATTCGCGAATTGGAGATGCAAAGGAGAGGAAATAGATTAGAGAATTGGTATTGAATTAAAACCTGACTCCAAGTCAAACTTGACCGCTATGCTCCAAATCGCCGAACTAGCATACACACAATAAATGACCCCATAGTAAGAAAGCAACAAAAAAAAAAGAAAAAAAAAAAAAAAAAAAAAAA